AGTGCCCGGAAGTAAGTGCCCCTCCCTGCCACCTTTGCCTCCCTGGGGGCTGCCTCTTGGGGCTCTGGCTCAGGCCTCCCTGCGTTCCGCCCTGGCACAGGGACCACGAGGGCAGCTGTGACTACAGGCCCGTGCGGTGCCCCAACAACCCCAGCTGCCCCCCACTGCTCAAGATGAATCTGGAGGCCCACCTCAAGGAGTGCGAGCACATCAAGTGTCCCCACTCCAAGTACGGGTGAGTGGGGAGCAGGCAGGGGCGGGCAGGCTCCCTCCACATGGTCCCGGGGAGGTGGGTCGGAGCCAGGGCCACGCCGGGGTCTGTCATCCTCCAGGAGGCTCAGGAGCCCAGCAGGGGCCCAAGCGTCCGGGAAGGCAGGCATGGGTGCTCCCACAGCCAGCCCAGCAGGGTCGGATTTGAGCAAATGCTGGGGTTGAGAGCTTTGGAGAGGGACAGGGGGTGGGAAGAGAGGTAGAGGCCCAGTTCTTGAGGGCAGGGAGGCTGCCGAGGGGCGTGGGTTTTATCCTCAGGGAGGGAGGACCCCTTGAAGAGCTCTGCAGGGGTGGCGTGATAGGACCTCGCTTGTGAAGCAGCCCGGGGGTGGTTGGGCATGGAGGAGAGGCAGGAAGGCAGGTGTGGGTAGGGGCCTCTGGACCTGGGGTGCAGCGGCCACAGGGCTGGAGCACTCGAAGGGGATTCTTGGGGATGGGGAGGTATTGGTAGGGACCGCCAGGCAGGCAGGTGGGCAGCTTTCCTGTCCCCACAGGTGCACGTTCATTGGGAACCAGGACACTTACGAGACCCACCTGGAGACTTGCCGCTTCGAGGGCCTGAAGGAGTTCCTGCAGCAGACGGACGACCGCTTCCACGAGATGCACGTGGCGCTGGCTCAGAAGGACCAGGAGATTGCCTTCCTGCGCTCCATGCTGGGCAAGCTCTCAGAGAAGATTGACCAGCTGGAGAAGAGCCTGGAGCTCAAGTTTGGTAAGGGTGGGCACCGGGGCAGGTGGGGGCCTGGCCACTGCTCTGGGCACCAGTGACGCCCCCTCTCCTCCTGCTACTCAGATGTCCTGGACGAAAACCAGAGCAAGCTCAGTGAGGACCTCATGGAGTTCCGGCGGGATGCGTCCATGTTGAACGTGAGTGGGAGGGGCTTCAGGGGCTGGATTGTGCGACCCCTGGAGGCTGGCAGCCCCAGCAGGAAGGCTTCCCCTGGCCTTGGGCCCACTATTCAGGATCAGGGGTCTGAGTGTGACAGGGGCTGCTACTGCCCCTGCCCACCCCTGGCACAGAGCAGCAGGGACAGAGGGGCTGCACTGGCCCCGCAGCAGCCCCGCCCACCTGCCCTCTGCCCTGCAGGACGAGCTGTCCCACATCAACGCGAGGCTGAACATGGGCATCCTAGGCTGTGAGTATGGGACTGCCGCGGCTCCCACCCGCCCTCCCCGAGGCCCCCACTGGGTCCTCACCAGCTGCTCCCATCTCTGCAGCCTATGATCCTCAGCAGATCTTCAAGTGCAAAGGGACCTTTGTGGGCCACCAGGGCCCTGTGTGGTGTCTCTGCGTCTACTCCATGGGTGACCTGCTCTTCAGTGGCTCCTCTGACAAGACCATCAAGGTGGGCAAGGTCCTACCTCAGTCTCTGCAGCCTGGCCAGGCTGGGTACTGCTGCATACCTGGCACTGCCAGCCTGCCTATCTATGGGTGGGACCTTTTCCTGGGCGGGCTTTCTCCCATGGTGGGGGGCCTTCTTTCCTATAGGCAGGGCTCCCTTACTCATTCCTGCCATGCTGCCTTTTGGCACTGGGCTGACCTTCCTGGGACCCACTGTGGCCTTGGTCCCTGCAGGTGTGGGACACATGTACCACCTACAAGTGCCAGAAGACACTGGAGGGCCATGATGGCATCGTGCTGGCTCTCTGCATCCAAGGGTGAGTCCAGGCACGTGTGTGACCAGTGACCCTCAGGACAGGAGACACAGTGCTGCCACCCCAGGGGCCATGAGCCTCGAGCTGGAGCCTGTGTAGCTATGTGTGTGCCCCACCTGTAGGGCGCCCTCCCCTCAAAGCAGTGCTGGCTCCCTGGGTAGCAGTGTGTGGGCCCCTGTGTGGCCTGCACCATCTCCAAAGTGGTGCATTCCGATACGTGGATGAACGCAGCCAGTCTTCCAGCAGAGCCTTGCCCTGGCCCGGTGCACCTTGGGCAGCCAGGTGATGGGTGGGACCTTAGGAGGCGAAGGCAGGAAGGAGCTGAGCTGTCCTCGGCCTGCAGTCAGAGCCCTGGGCACAGGGACCTCGGAGTACCTACCTCAGCCACCTTTTTGCCTCCAGGGTGGCCTGTCTGCTTCCTGCCTCCTGCCTCACATTGTGAGGCTTTGTGGGAGCGAGCAAATGTGTGTGTGTGAGAGACGCTCTCAGGAGGCGGCAGCTTGGCTGCCAGCACCCGGCTCCAGGACTGACTCAGTGCTAATGGGCGGGTAATTACCTCCCGGCTCGCTGTCAGATGCTTTCCAGGCAGGCATCAGGGGCTGGCCCACCCCTCCCAAGGTTCCTATGTGGAGACTGGAAACAGGCTGGGGCTTAGGGACACAGCAGTGGCCTTGGCCCTGGGCCATGCTGCTGGGTCCTGATGGTTGGCACGAAGCTCAGGCCTGGCCAAGGAGGCGTCAGCAGGGACACAGCTTCTCCCACCTTGACGAGTTGTCTCTGCTTCCCCAGGTGCAAACTCTACAGCGGCTCTGCAGACTGCACCATCATTGTGAGTGGGGCCTGCAGGCAGGGGAGGTGGGAGGCGGCCCAGGCCTGCCCAGTATGTGGGTGCCCCAGGGACCTGTTTCTTCCCATCTGGGCTCTGGGCTCCAGACTCCAGGTGGCAGGGCTTGGTGCCCTGAGGCTTCTGGTCCTCCCGCAATCAGGTGTGGGACATCCAGAACCTACAGAAGGTGAACACCATCCGCGCCCACGACAACCCGGTGTGCACACTGGTCTCCTCACACAACATGCTCTTCAGCGGCTCCCTGAAGGCCATCAAGGTATGGGCAGAGAGTGTGCCCCCATGTGTGGGTCACTGAGGCGTCCCTTGCTCGCCCAGCCCACAATCCCTGCAATCCCTGCAATCCCTGCAGGTCTGGGACATTGTGGGCACTGAGCTGAAGCTGAAGAAGGAGCTCACAGGCCTCAACCACTGGGTGCGGGCCCTGGTGGCTGCCCAGAGCTACCTGTACAGCGGCTCCTACCAGACAATCAAGGTAAGCCTGAGCACACCTGGTGGCCACAGGGCCTTGCCCCCTGCCGGCACTTCCCAGGCCAGCACCCAGGGCTCCATCTCCCCGTTCCTAACTTTGCACACGCCCTGGCTGGGTGGGTGGGCTGCCCAGCGGTGCTGAAGCTCTGGGGGTGCAGAGGCCCTGGGGATGAGGCACCTGGCCTGGAACCAAGTGGCCCGCAATTCCTTATAGATCTGGGACATCCGAACCCTCGACTGTATCCACGTCCTGCAGACGTCTGGCGGCAGCGTCTATTCCATTGCTGTGACAAATCACCACATTGTCTGTGGCACCTACGAGAACCTCATCCACGTAAGGCCTGGGTGCCTGGGTACAGGGCCAGACTCTGGCCTCATCTCCCCCGCCTTGCCCAGTGTCTTTAACCCACCTGTGCCCACCCCTCCCAGGTGTGGGACATTGAGTCCAAGGAGCAGGTGCGGACCCTCACGGGCCACGTGGGCACGGTGTATGCCCTAGCGGTCATCTCCACGCCAGACCAGACCAAAGTCTTCAGTGCGTCCTACGACCGGTCCCTCAGGGTGTGTGCTGGCCCGGTGGTGGCGGGAGGCTCAGAGGGCCGGCGTCCAGGCTCCGGCAGGCCCTCACGTCCCATGTGCCCCCAGGTCTGGAGCATGGACAACATGATTTGCACACAGACCCTGCTGCGTCACCAGGGCAGTGTCACCGCGCTGGCCGTGTCCCGGGGACGGCTCTTCTCAGGGGCTGTGGATAGCACTGTGAAGGTCAGTGCCCGAGGCTTGGGCCATTCAAAGGGGCTTGGAGGGATTGAACAGGGGAGGGGAGGGGAGGAGCTGGCAGCCCCAGCATGAGGTGGTAGAGGGCAGGTATGTTATATCAGGTGTGGCTGGGGCAGGGCAGCCGGCCACAGGACACCCTGGTGAAGCAGCCCTTTCCCTACAGGTTTGGACTTGCTAACGGGATCCAGGCCAGGCCATGGCTTCCACTGGACCGGCCCTGGACCTTTCTGAGCCAGGCTGGCCACATGGGGTGGTCTCTGGGTTTCCGCCTGCCCCGTGGGCACAGGTGGACAGGCTCTGGCAGCCAGGTAGTGCCCTCCTGCCCCATGCTCGGCGATCCTCCCTCTACTCGGCACTGTCCTCACTGCTGCCAGGACAGAGCCCAGCCCCTCTCTCTGGGTGCCAGGTACGACACTTGCCCGGGCCCACCCTCCATCCCCACCCTAGATGGAGCGAGGGCCTTTTTACTCACCTTTTCTACTGTTTTTAGACTGTGTGTAGATTTGATTACTTCCTGGTTGAAATAAACACTCCACAGACTGTGGCTGTGAGCGGGGACAGCTCCTCAGACAAGGGGGTGTGAGTGGCCTTGAGGTCGGTGTGCACAGGCTGCCATGAGTGGGGGGCATGGGGCAGTTCCTTCGGCCCACGCCAGGGCTTCCCCTCCCTGGTAGGAAGCAGCTCGTCATACCCAGGCTGCTGGCCTCCAGTTCCACCTCCCCCAACACATGCACCCCCAAAAAGAGCCAGGCACCTCTGTTTCCTGCTGTTTATTGACAGCCAATGGCAGCGCCTTGCCCAGACCTCCCCTGCCCGCCTGCTGAAGCCCAGCCTGGGCTGCCCACTGAGGAGAGGCCCTGGGGGACAGCTAGGCACTTCCCTCGAGGGGAAACACCGGTTAAGACAGCGGAAGGGGCCCTGGATGCCTGGACACCACCTCCGCCAGCCACCTCCACCCGCCCCACACCACAATCGCTGGTTTTCGGCATTTAAAAAATTTTTTTAAGAAATGTCAAAGTTGTGCCCAACACTTGTGGATCAGCAAACACGATAGAGGAGACCAATCAGTACTTCTTGGATGAGGCAGGGGAGGAAGAGAGAGGAAAAGGGAGGGCAAGAATGACCACACGACACAGCCTTGGACCATGAGCAGAAGCGTCCATGTGAACGCTGGCAGGGTGGACGGGCTGCCTGTGCAGGCCCTGGGGAGGGGGCAGGCACACCCTCAGATGAGCTGCAAGCCCATAGCCTCGCCTGCTATGCACCCTGCTTTCATGTGGCCACTACGCTGACGTGCCCATGTTCACCACACCCACCCGCGCCACAGGACACAGCCACGCCAAGAGGACATGGCCGTCGCGAGCAAGGCACATCCTCGAGTTGTTGGGGTGCAGAGAACTTAGGAGAGAAGCTCGGGGGAGCCCCTGGCAGAGCACCTGCCTCCCAGCCCCAGCCTTTCACCTGTGCTAGGGGCCTGGGGCCTCCACTCTGACCAGAGGGAGGGAAAGACCGGCAGGCAGACGGCTTGGGCCTCTTAACAGCTTTTGTCTGGAGCTAGACTTGTGTCCTTTCAGTTGGTAAATTGTTTTCTATAGAATCAATAATATTTCTTTCTTTAAATATATATTTGTTAAAGTTATACCTTTTTGTTTCTCTGGGGAAATCTGCCTCAGCTCATTCCCAATAAATTAATACTCTTGATAGCTTATATTCTGGGGGTGCGGTGGGGCAGGGGAGCCCTGACCCTGGTCCCCTGTCCCTTGTGCTGCGCCCAAGAGGCTGGCCGGGCGTCCCAATGGGCAGTTCTGTGCTGGGCCCGGGCCTGTGCGCTGCCCCGTCCCTGGTCCCGAGGCGCCCTCCCCTCCCGCGTGGGCAGGAGGCCCAGCAGGTATTGCACGGGAAGCAGCAGGTGGGGCGGGCCCGCGGGCGCGGGGTCTGCACAGAGCCCTTGGAGCCCCCGGCCATGCAGTCCTCGGTGGGCGCCCCAGCCCGGGACCAGGGGCCGGAGTTGTGCTTGTGCGGGGCCCTGCCCAGCCGTTCGCGCCGCACCCAGACGCGCCCATCCTGAGGTATAGGTCAGTGTGCGGGAAGGGCCCGGGCGGCGCGGACGGGCCCGGCGAGGCGGCGCTCACTCCAGCATGGCGTCCAGCTGGTCGGCCAGGTCATCGAACATGCTGCCGATGTCGTCCAGGATGCTGCCGGTGCTCTTCGCCGCCGCCGAGGCGCTGCGGGGCGCGGCACGCAGGGCGTGAGCGGGCGGGGAGGGCGACGCCCACGCCACGCCCATCCCCGCTAGCCCCACCCTCCGCCCCCAGGTCCCGCCCACACCTACCGCGGACCCTGCCCGTCCTCCTGCCGGATCTTTTCCTCCACTGCCTGCAGCGCCGCGGCCAGGCAAGCGCTGGTCTCCTCCAGCTTCTGCCGGGCGCTGTCGCCGGGCGAGGTGCCTTCTGGCGCGGCAGGGGGCGCAGCGGCAGCTGCGGCGGCGGCGCGCGGGGGCTTGGCGGGCACGTGCAACGCGGGCGCGCCGGGGGACGGGGGCTTGGCAGGGCTGGCAGCCAGTGAGGGCGGCGTGCTGGGCGGCTTGGCGAGGGCGGCGGGTGACTGGCGCGCGGGCGAGGGCGCGGGCGAAGGGCCGGCGCTGCCCGAAGGCAGCCCCGCGGCTGCCTTGGCGGGTTTGGGCGCTGTGGGTGGCGGCGGCGGCTTGGGGGACACGGGCGGCGGCGTGCCATGGGCGCGCTTCACCTCTGCGGGGAGGACCACGCTGGCACCGGGTGGGCAGAAGCCCCCCCGCCGCGCCCCCTGCCCCGGCCTGCTCGCGGACGAGGAAGGACCCTGCTCAGCTTGCCCCCAGCCCTGGACATGCTCGCACCCCACCATCAACTCCAGGAAAAGGAAAACCCCCCAGACCACCGAGTAGGGAGGTGGAACAGGGTCCTGCCGCCCCCTCACCCCACCCTGGCTGGTCACATACGCCTACCTGGGCTGCCAGGGCCTGGCAGCGGCACCTTCTTGGAGGTGGGTGTGGGTGAGCCCTGGATCTTGGGCACGGGCTGCGTCAGAACGGGCTTGGGAGAGACTGGCGGCTTGGCCGGCTTCCGGGCTTCGCCCTCAGGCGGGGGCAGTGGGGGTAGGTGCACCAGGTCGGTGGGCGGGGGTTCGGCAGGCGGGGGCGGTGGGGGCAGCTCCGGAGGCCCAGCCTGCTCTGAGGCTGGTCGGCGGCGCACGGTCCCAGTGCCGTTCTGGTACACGGACAGTGGCGGTGGTGGCTCAGGCCCGGCCTCCCGCTCCTTGGCTTTGGGCCGGCGCTTGACTGTGTCAGACTCAGTCAGGATGAACTTGACGTTCTCCTGCTGGTTCTGCTTGGCCCGGATGCGCCTCTTGAGTGTGGCGCTGGCCTCCACCCTGGCCAAGGGCGGGCCCTCGACACCCGCTTCACCCTTGGAGGGACCCCGAGGCCGCTGCCGACCAGTGCCATCCTCCACAAAGGGGCCTGGGTCTGCCGACTCCCCAGGCCCCCGGCGGGCAGTGGCCAGAAGTCCGGTGACTGGACCGCTAAGTGTGCGGCGCCGGTTCACCACCTCACCGCCAGGCCCAATGGCCTCTTTGTGCTTCACTGAGGCCAGCACCGTGGCCACCCGGCCCGGCTCTGGGCTGGCAGGGCGGGGAGTAGGGTGGCCCTCAGGAGGCCTACGGGCAGCCCGGCCCCCACCCCCAATGGAGGACAGCTCCAGCATGGCAGCGATGCTCTTCACGCTGCCGGCACTGCCCGTGTCCACGCTGCCAGCCAGATCACTGGCCCGCCGGCACTGTGCCCGGACCCCCAGCAGGCCGTCCTCAGGCTCGGCATCTGGCACTGGCTCATCCACCAGGTTGGCACTGGCCAGAGCCGAGCTGGAGCGCTTGGGCGGAGGCGGCGGGGGCCCCTTCTTTCGAGGACGCACTGCAAAGGACTGGCTGCGGTTGACGTTCTTGTCGGCGCCCGCGGGCGCCCTCACCGAGTGGCTGCGGCCAACTCGCCGTTGGACTGTGGCATAGGGACCCGCAGCAGCAGGCACCAGCAGCTCGTCCCGCTCAGGCTCGCTGTCGGAGGCCGCGTAGCGATTCAGACTGTGGGCTCGCTTCTTGGGCCGCCCCGGCTCCGCGTCGGCTTCGGGGGGCAGGCACAGTGTGGGCACAGCTGTCGGCACAGGTGGGGGCGCAGGCCCTGGGGCAGCCTGCCCCGCCTCGCCCTCCACAGGCTGGGGCAGCACGTAGGCAAAGCCACGGTGTGTGGGCGACTGAGGCAGGGAGCGGGGTGACATGGGGCGCTCTGTTGGCGGCAGCAGCTGTGGGGTGGGCTTCACCTTGGCTGTAGCTGGGGCTGGACCATGAGGTCCCCCAGGAGCCTGGGGAGAGCCTGGCCGGGTTTTGGTGGGCGTCTGAGGGGGCGTGAAGTGGCTGGTACCTGGTGGGAGGACCTGCCGGGGCTTGCCAGGCACAGGGGGCACGCTGGCCCTCTTCACGCTGTGACCATGACGGCCTGGCCGGCCCTCCTTGGGTGGAGTGCCGGGGGCCGGGCCCTCATCCAGCAGGTACTCCTGGCTTCGAGACATGGGACTGCTGGGCCCAGGGGGCCCGTCGCCCAGCAGCTCCTGTGAGCTGCTCATGTGCCGTGCCCGGCCACCCAGGCTGGGTTCCTGCCGTGTGGTGGCCCTTGGGGTAGGTGGCAGGTGGCTGGAGGGCTTGTCGGTGGTGGTCCCCACCTCACCCGGGCCAGTCATGGCAGCCTGCAGCTCGTCACTGAGCTCGCTGTCCTGGAAGGTGGTCATCTTAGGGGACTGGCAGTCAGCCGGTGCGGGCTCAGGTGGGGGTGGCGACTCAATGGCCATCACTTCAAGTGACTGGGGTGCCTTCCGGCGCAGGGGGCCCCCCTCATACTTGGCGTATTCAGCCTTCTGCAGTTCTGCCAGCTTCCTAACAGCCAGCATCAGCTTCTTTTGGTGTCCTGAGTGGGGCACAGGGGGCAGGTCAGGTGGACCAGGATGTAGAAGAGCAGGGGCTGGGCTACCGGCTCAGCTGGGGGCTAAGGCTGGGGCTGGGGCTGGGCCTGGGGCGGGGGCTGGGCCTGGGCCTGGGGCTGGAGCTAAGGCTGGGGCTGGGGCTGGGGCTGGGGCTCGGGGCTTGGGCTGCACTGGGGCTAGGGTCTGGGCTGGAGCCTCACCCAGCTTGGTAATGCCGATCTCCTGCAGGTCCTCCCAGGTAATGTCAGTGATGAAATCGATGTTCTCGTAGCCATTGTCCACCAGCACCTTGTAGTACTGGGCTAGGCCGATCATGGACAGCCACACGGCCAGGTTAGCCTATGGAGCAGAGACAGACAGGGGCCACCTGGGCTGGCTGCCTGCACCCTGCCCACCTACTTGGAGCTGGAAGAGGAGGGGACACTGGGCCCCTGGGGCACAGACAGACAGAAGGACGAACGGATAGCCCAAGGCGTTGGCACCAGAAACGTAGGCAGAGCCTCGGCTCAGACACCAGGCATTGTGTGCCACACAGTGAACACATGTGCACACACACATGGCTGACTACACACACACGACTGACTGCATCCACAGGACACCCTTGTCAGAGCAGGGTGGAAGAAGGCACTTTCCCACCTGGCCAGGCAGCCACAGGCACAGCACCGTGAGGAGACACACCCCAGAGTCGTGGACACAGACGCACAGGGCCACACCTGGTACAGGAACACACACATGCCCTGCACGCTGCACTCCCAGCCACACACGGGAACCAGCACCCCATCCCACGTCACACTCTGACCTCTCACTGTTTTCCCACCCGCATCAGATGCACAGCCACACACAGCCACAACACACACCCGTGCCAACACACACAGCAGTCTGCACCGACAAACACCGATCACTCTCCGAGTGGCATCCAGGCATCCACGCTCCCAGCTGGAATTCACTCATGCACCTGCTCTTGGCACACTCAGCCACCCTGGGTGCACAGCAAGGCCTGTGGGACCAGGACATGACCCCCAGGAGGACCACTGAGCCACCAACTGAGTGAGGCAAGGTAGGGTGAGTGCAGACCCGCCTGCCGGGTGGCTTCTGACAGCCACCGATCCCCTCTCCCACTGGGAACCCAGAGAGTCCACTTCAGTTTGGGCTAGGCCTGGGCCCACCTTCTGCAGGCCCAGAACCCATCCCACCGCACGCGCACCTCCGCTAATGACCACACCCGCCATGGCGTGTGCAGGGATCACCGGAAACGGGGGTGTCGGCTGTTGGTGAGGGCCACCCGTGCGGTGGAGCATGTGTGCACAAAGGCAGCTGGTGGACGCCTGCAGGGTGTTCTGTGGGCCAGCACATGCCTGGGTGCGTGTGAGCACAGGCCATAAGCATGGCCCTCTGCAGTCTGCATGTGAGTGGCAATGCTTGGAGGCACGGTGGCTGGAGGGTCCCTGTGTGACAGTCTGCATGCGGAGGGAGTGCTGGTGACAGCATGGACATGGGGAGGGGACTCTCCTGACCTCACGGTCCCTTAGCTCCAATGGCCCCTGGGCAGCATCACCTCGCCCCTGCCCCAGTGACAAAACAGGGACCGCCCAGGAGGCTCCCTGCTCACAGGACATGCTCCATGTTCCTCTCCCAAAAGCCCTGAGGGCGGGTAGGGGCTGTGGCCAGGCAGGCAGGCTCTCTGTCTGCCCGTCCTGGGCCCAGCCCCTGGGGTGCGGGTGGCCTTACGGGTTTGTGCTCAGGCAGCCAGTCGGGGATGCTTAGGCCGCTGATCTCTGCCACAATCTTCTTCCGGTGGCCCGGCTTGGTGACACCAATGGCCGTGAGGTCCTAAGCAGAGGGGAGGCTTGTCAGCTGGGGGCTGCATCTGTCCATGGGATGTAGCTGGCGCTGGCAGTGTCTGGAAAGCTCACCTCGGGGGTCATGCGGCTGATGGTGGGCAGGTCGTAGCCAGCACTGATGAAGTTGGGGGCATAGAGCTGCAGCTGGAACGCGGTGAGCCACTGGCCCACGGCCTCGGCGCTCTGGAAGACACAAGGCACCCGCTGCAGCTCGCCTGCCCGGCTGTGCCCTGCCACCGCAGCGCCTCCTTCTCTGCTTGGCCGGCGAGCCATGCAGCCGCTGAGTCCGCTGTCCGCTGCTCCATCTGCAGCAGGCCCTGGCAAGCCTGGCCGGTGAATGATCCTCAGTCCGCGGTCCCCGAGGCACCTCCTGGAGCATCCTCCACCCTTCTGCCTTCGTCTTGGATCTCCACCAGGGTGGGGGCTGCTGCTGTCCGCCACACGCCTCCCTGACTGTCCCCTGCTCCTGCACCAGGGACGCCCTGTGCCATCTTGGGGAGGCAGGTGGTGTGGCCCCATAGGAGGGGACTCTGGGAAAGGGGCCTGGGGCTGCACTGCAAGGTGGACTCTGTGGCCACAGGTAGGGGCGCCTTGCCTCCACCGTGCAGGACTCAGCCAGCAGCTTACGCCTCCCCCACACACAGGTGCACTCACACACCATGCACTGTGTCCATGTACACACTGCACTGTCTCATACCCAGCCCTCCACCTGTACACATGTGCGCAGCTCGCAGCCACACCATCATACACGCACCCCGCACACACACATGCACACACAGAGGCACAGGTTGGCCCACACACACAGCCTGCACGACGACGACACCTGTACACGCGGGCGGACACACACACGACACACACAGAGGAAAGGGTCTGGTCTGGCAATGCCCCCAACCCTGCCGCAGCCAGGCCAGGCAAGCCATGTAGGTGCCCATCGGCCTGACCGCCTCTCCCTGGAGCCCATGCTGGGAGCCCCCCAAGCCCTGTACCTTGCCCTCTGATGCCGGCTCCAGCTTCTTGGGCGGCTGCTCCCCATAGACCTGTCCAGCGTGGGCCACTGGAGGCTGGGACCGGGCCGCACCTGGGAATGAGAGTGGGTGGGGGACAAGGGCTGTCAGGCTGCTTCCCTGCCGGGCTGTGAGGCAGCATCCTTGCTCTTACCTGCGGAGCCTTCCGGAGGCTTGATGGGGCTGTCCCCCGGGCTGGACTCGGAGACGGACTTCTGGGAAAGCACCGTTGCCAGGAGCTGCAACCCAGAAACACCGGCTTGCCCGCCCGCTCCCAGCACAGTCACCCTGGCCCTGGCCACCACCCCACCTACCTTGACACCCTCGGAGCCCGCGTGCAGGGCATGGCCCCCGCTGCCCCGGCCGCCAGCCACACCGCTCACACTGCCGCTTCGTTCCCCACCTGCTGGCGCGAGGGGGCAGGATGAGGCCGGTGCTGGCCCCCGCCTGGCCCCACGGTGGTGCCTTGTGGAAGTCCTGCCACCTCTGCCCTTCGGGGACCCGGCCTACCTGCAAAAGGCTTCCTCAGCACCCAGATCTCCTCTGGGGGTGCGGAGGGTCCCGATGAGCTGCCTCCCTGGGGCAGGCTTGGTTCAGTGCCTGCTCGAGGACCTGTGGGCCGAGCACAGCCTCCTGAGTCCTAGGCTAGTGTGGGTGGCTGCTGACACAGAAGGGACATGGGGCAGAGGCCAAGTGGCCACACCGGGGGGTCCTCTCTGCTCACTGTTGTCCCCAGGGAGCTCAGAAGCCCTCGGAAGACCCTTCCCACCCCAGGCGTTTAGAGCAGGAGAGGGGCAGAGGCAGCCCAGCCCAAGCATCCTGCAGGTGGCCCTGGGGTCCTGCAGGCAGGCAAGCTGGGGACTGCTGGACAGTGTGAACGTCTCCGTGCTGGGGACCAGGGGGCAGACAAGGAGCCCCCGCACAAGCTGGAGCCAAGGCTCCCACTCAGGAGCTAGATGGCCATGGCGGGGGCTGGCCCTGCCTGTCAACCTCCGTGTCCTCCATTAGAAATAAACTGGTCCCGGGCCGGGCGTGGTGGCTCAAGCCTGTAATCCCAGCACTTAGGGAGGCCGAGGCGGGTGGATCACGAGGTCAAGAGATCGAGACCATCCTGGTCAACATGGTGAAACCCCGTCTCTACTAAAAATACAAAAAATTAGCTGGGCATGGTGGCACGTGCCTGTAATCCCAGCTACTCAGGAGGCTGAGGCAGGAGAATTGCCTGAACCCGGGAGGCGGAGGTTGCCGTGAGCCGAGATCGCGCCATTGCACTCCAGCCTGGGTAACGAGGGAAACTCCGTCTCAAAAAAAAAAAAAAAAAAAAAAAAAAAAAAAAAAAAAAAAGAAATAAACTGGTCCCTTGGAGCCGCCACGTGGGGCTTCATAGCCTGGGCCCCTGGCCTGGTCCCTCTCCTCAGCCTCCTGTTCCTCAGATGTGCCAAGCTTTTGCCTGCCTCAGCACCTTGTTTTTTTCTTTTTTCCTCACCAAGAGCAGACACTTGAGTGCCTTTTTGTTGTTATTGTTTTGAGACAGGATCTAGCTCTGTTACTCAGGCTGGCACAATCTTGGCTCACCGAAGCCTCCACTTCCCAAGCTCAAACAATCCTCCCACCCCAGCCTCCCAAGTCCCTGGGGCTACTGGCACATGCCACCGCCTTTAGCTAATTTTATTTTTTGTAGAGACAGAATCTCAGTCTGTTGCCCAGACTGATATTGAACTCCTGGGCTCAAACTCTCTCCCACCGCAGCATCTCAAAATGCTGGGATTACAGGCGTGAGCCACCACGCCCGTCCCCGTCCCCTTTCAACACACAGCTCCTGCCAGTTGGAACCACTCACCTCTCAGGGCATTCTCTGGCCTTCTCTGACTGCCCCATCTCAAGCAGGCCCTACCCGTGCCCTGGGTCACTGGTTGGTAAATGTCCCTCCATGTTTACTTTGCTGTCCCTGCCGCTTCTCACCCCAGGGCAAGCTCCTTGGGAGCTGGGTTCCCATCTGCCCTGGTGGCCAGTTCAGAACCAGAACGTGGCGGCACACGGGGCTTGGTGGAACACATTAAGTAACAAGTGTGGGAATGGACAAAGAGACAGCCGCTGGGGCACTGAGATGCTCCCCACTCAACCCCACTGCGGCGTCCAGAACCCCAGCCCTGCTGGACCCCTACGCCTTCGGCACACTCGCCACTTCCAGCCCCCAAGCCCAGACTGCTGGGTTCCTGCCTGCCCCTCCAGGGCAGGGTGGGACTTGCCTGCCCGCTTGACAATGGCCTCGCCCAGGGAGGATGGGAAGTAGCCCACCCGGTCATTGCCCGTCCGGTTGTCATGGATACAGCCCTTCCATCGACCATCCGGATGCTGCTCGAGGACCTGGCCAGTAAGGTAAGGAGCGCTCAGGGAGATGCCCCCTTTCTCAGTGCCTCCTGCGCAGGGCCCCCCAGTTGCAGCGGGAGGGTGTTCTGAGGTGCGCATGCCCAGGTCCCACCCCCTCCCTGCCGAGACGACCCCTGGGGCCACGCTCACAGTGATGATGTCCCCCGCCTTCACGTTGAGGCTGGTCAGGTCGTAATTGTTGCAATAATCCTTGGTCGCCCGGACCTGCAGGGCCGCCGAGGCCTCTGGGGATACAGGAGGGGGCCCCCCAAGTCCTGCAGACTGATCTGGCCCAGCTCCAGCCCCAGCCCCTGCTCCTCTGCCCTGCCCGGGCCCACCTCGCAACAGCTGCTTGATCTCCCTGCTGGCCTGGGACGTGGTGAACTGGTGCACGATGTCCAGGGCTGTCTGGCTGTAGGTGTTCCTCACATGGGCATTGATCCCGCTCTGCACACGCGAGATGTGAGGCCCTGTCAGGAGCCCCCACGGCCCACTGGGCCCAGCGCCCCTGGCCCCCAGACTCACATCCAGCAGCAGCCGCACCACCTCCGTCTTCCCGCAGAGCGCAGCCTCGTGCAGGGCGGTGCCGGACTTGGTCTGACGGTTAATGTCGATGCCAGCTTGGAGGAGGAGCCTGGCAGGAAGGCGAGGTGGACAGGCGGAGCTTTCTAGCAGGAAGCCAGCCCCAGCACCCCCAAACCAGGCCTCCATTTCCAGGTGCCCCAGCGGCCCACTAGGGGGCTGAGGACTGTCCAGCCCTGCTCCATGTTTCTGACATACACTGAGTGCTGAGCGCTTTTTCTTTTCTCTTTTTTTTTCGAGACAGGATTTGGCTCTTCTCACCCAGGCTAGAGTGTAATGGTGCGATCTCGGCTCACTGCAACCTCCACCTCCTGGGTTCAAGCGATCCTCCAGCCTCAGCCTCCAGAGTAGCTGGGATTACAGGTGCCTGCCACCATACGCAGCTAATTTTTTGTATTTTTAGTAAAGATGGGGTTTCATTATGTTGGCCAGACTGGTCTTGAACTTCTGACCTCCTGATCCAGCCTCCTGAGCCTCCCAAAGTTCTGAGATTATAGGCGTGAGTCACTGTGTCCAGCTTGCTTTTTCTAAGTCTGGGTCTCTGTCACCCAGACTGGAGTGCAGTGATGCAATCGCAGCTTACTGCAGCCTCAAACTCCTGGCCTCAAGCAATCCTCCTGCCTCTGCCTCCAGAATATCTGGGATTACAGGCATGTGCAACTGTTCCCAACTCTTTTTTTTTGTTTTGCTTTTATTTTTTGTAAAGACCAGGTCTTGCTGTGTTGCCCAGGCTGGTCTCTAACTCCTGGGCTCAAGCAAGCCTCCCGCATCGGCCTCCCAAAATGCTGGAATTGCACGCATTTTGAACCACCGCACTCAGCCCACTTTTTAAGAAAGTAGAGATGAGGCCGGGCACAGTGGCTAACACCTATAATCCCAGCACATTGGGAGGTTGAAGTGGGTGGTTCACGAGGTCAGGAGATCAAGACCATCCTGGCCAACATGGTGAAACCCCATCTCTACTGAAAATACGAAAATTAGCTGGTCGTGGTGGTGCATACCTGTAATCCCAGCCACTCAGGAGGCTGAGGCAGGAGAATTGCTTGAACCCAGGAGGCAGAGGTTGCAGTGAGCTGAGATCACACCACTGCACTCCAGCCTGTGACAGAGAGAGATTCTGTCTCAAATTAAAAAATAAATAAATAAATTAGAAATAGGGTCTGTCACCTAGGCTGGAGTGCGGTAGTGCAGTCCACTCACTGCAGCCTCAACCTCATGGGCTCAAGCAATTCTCCTGCCTCAGCTTCCCAACGGGCTGGGTCTACAGGTGTGTGCCACCACAACCAGCTAATTTTTCTGTGTTTTGTAGTGATAGGATCTTGACATGTTGTTGCCTAGGCTGGTCTTGAACTTCTGGCCTCAAGCAATCCTGCCAAAGTGCTGGGATTACAAGTATGAGCCACTGTGCCCAGCCCACAGTGAGTGCTGTTGAAGGGATCTTCCGGCGCTAAGACTTCTCAGCTGCTGTCTTGTTTGACACTAGTGTAGGCGCTGCTGTGAGCCCCACTTTATGGATGGGAAACCGAGGCTCAGAGTTCAGCAACTGGAGTGCACCCAGAGGCAGCAGGGCCGGGAAAGAGCAAGCAGAAGCCCCCTCCCCAGCCCCTCTAGCTCATCCTGTACATGGGCGCTAGAGGCCATGCCAGAGGCTTGACCATGGACCTGGGACCCTGCATATTCCTGCCCTATCCCCAAGCCAGAAGCTGCTGCCCTGAGCCCCAGGCTGCTACTGAACTCCAGGAACCCTAAGGTGGAGGCCCTCCCTGCCACCGGCTCTACCTGATGATGTCAATGTGGCCGTTCTTGGCTGCGAGATGCAGAGGGCTGGTGCCGTTGGGGTCAGTGGTGTCCCCCGGCCGGGGCTCTAGCAGCGCCGCACACATGTTACTGCTGAGGAGCAGCTGGACCACCTTGAAGGAGAGTCAGGGTAGAAGGGTCCTGGTGTGGGGCTCCCCAGCTCCACCCCATGGGGCTCCGTGGAGGACTCACCCCAACACGGCCGAACTCGCAGGCCAGGTCCAGGGGTGTCTTCCCCGAGTTGTCTACCATGCACGGGTTGGACTGGTGCTGCAGCAGCATCTCAGACTGGAGGCCAAGGGTGCAGTCAGGCCCTCACATCCTCAGCCTGCGAATCCTCAGCCCCGCACACCCTCAGCCCTGGGCATCCTCAGCCCCGGGCATCCTCAGCTCGGACATCCTCAGCCCGGGCATCTCCAACCCCGGGCATTCTTACCCCGGGCATCCTCAGCCCCAGGCATCTTCAGCCCAGGCATCCTTACCCCGGACATCCTCAGGCTATGCTGCCCCTGCCTCCGCCCCCACTCAGGCCTCACCACATCATAGTGACCATGCTGGGCTGCCAGGTGCAGGGGGATGTGGCCCTCATCGGATGGGATGTTCACAGCAGAGCCTGCCTTCAGCACCAGCTTCATGGGCTCCTTCCGGCCCTGCCAGGCAGCGTAGTGCAGCGGCCGCATGCCTGGGGGGTGAGGAGATGCTGGGAGCCAGCCTCTGACCCCAAGCCCACCCTGGGGGTGGGAAAGTGCTGGAAGCTGACCCCTGACCCCACCTGGTCCACCCCGGGTTGGGGATGCTGGGAGCTGAACCCTGACCCTAAACCCAGTGCTGGTGGGTGGGGGTGCTGGGAGATGACCACTGACTGCAAGACCAACCCTGGGGGATAGAGGGTGGTGGGAGCTGACCTCCAACCCCAAGCCCAGCGCTGGGGGCTGGAAGGCTGCTGGGAGCTGACCCCTGACCCCAAGCCCAATGCTGGGGAGTGGGGGATGCTGGGAGCTGAGCCCTGACCCCAAGCCCAATATGCGGGTGGTAGGGGAATGCTGGGACCTGATCACTGACCCCAAGCCCACCCCTGGCCTCCAGGACCCTGATCCCACAAGGACATGCCTGAACTTAGACTGAGACCCTGGGCTGAGAACTCAGCCAAGGATCCACGCAGGCCCTGGGGAGCCCCCCCACTGCCTCTGCTCCCGCCAGAAGCCCTGGGCCAGTCTTGCCTTTGTTGTCCTTGATGTCCACAGCGGCCTGGGCCTCCAGCAGCAGGCTGATCAATTCCGTGTTGCCATTCAGGGCCGCGTGGTGCAGAGCCGAGAAGCTGGCACAGGCAGACGACGCATAGAGCAGAGGCCCCAGCACCCATCCCTCCTCAGGAGCCGCCCTCCCATGCAGGCAGGCACTGTCCGGCTCAGAACTCACCCATCAGGGTCCTGGAAGTTGACGTTGATCTTCTTGGTGGAGCCCAGGAGCTCTGGGGATGGAAGGAGACTTGGTGAGGGGAGGCTGTGCCAGCCCCTCCAAGCAGCCCGAGGGCAGGGAGAGGGTGCCAGCTATCTCCCTGGCAGGCACAACTCTGCTGGGCTCTCAGTCTGCAGACACTCGTCCACTCCCACACTCACACCTTCAGCTCTGCCCTGCAACCAAGTGTCAGCCGCTTGGGCCTTGGTGTCCCATTGTCCTGAGATGTGGGGTTTCACAGTACTGAGGACTCTGGCCTGGGGTCTTTGTTCCCACCTGGGGACAGTAGGCAAGGCCATGCACCCACACAGGCACACACATGTGCACGCGCACCCCTCCCTTGGGACGCTGGCTGAGCACCTGCCAATGGTGGGAGGGAGAGAGCCGGCCCAATCTGTCTCTCAGAAGGATCCAGATGGGGCCGGGGGTGGCCAGGGAGGCTGGAACACCCGGAAATGGGGGTATCTCTGGGGGAGGATCTGCATCTCCACCATGCAGCACCCCCACTGCCAGCCCTGGGCCAAAGCCAGTGTGGATGAGCAGAAGGGGGAGGCGGGCGAGTGGGCTGGCACCTCTGAGCGACCTCACGAGAACGGCCGCCTCCTCCCTGGCGGGGCTAGGAGCACCTGAGGCCAGAGGGGCCCACGCCCTCCCTTCAGGGCCCCAGTGTCCTCCTGGGCGCCCCCAACCTGATCTCTTCCAGCCAGCTACCAGAGGAGGGAAGCCCACCAATGACCTCCCAGTGGGCTCCAGTCCAAGCAGACAGGCCAAACCCCCGCCTATCTGGGCCGTGGTTACATAACCCATTTGTGGGTCAGTCACTCTGAGAGGGGAGCTGGTAGGACAGAGGCCCCTTTGTCCAGGCCCAGGACGGGGGGGTGGGCGCTGAGGACAGGGGAGTTGAGGGAGTCGAGGCACAGGGCTGGCTGCAGGGCTTGCACAGTGAGCCACAGCAGCCCCGGCTGCCCTGGCCTCGGTCTCAGCCACTGGACTCAGAGTGTGGGTCCCCTGATGACCCACAAGGCTGAACAAGGGAGCCAGACAGCTATGAATTCAAATCTCTGCTCTGCCACTCACCAGCCTGTGGCCTTGGCTGCTGGAGCCTTCCCTGAGCTAGAGCAGTGGGTGCTAACAGGGCCTCCCAGAGGCGTGAGAGCATTTCCAGACATAAAGCTTGCAGGGCCTGGCACAAGTCAGGTCTTGGTGTGTGGCGATTACTAATATTAGCCGTACAGGAATCCAACCCCCACCTCTCTCCAGCCAGTTCTCCTAGCAAGCAAAGAGGTCTCCAGCCTCGCCGGCCCCTCCTCCTCTGTTCAGACACTGCTGGCACTGGTGTCCCTCTTGGTTAGTGGCAATGCCATCCTTCCTGACCGTGGCCCAGGCCAAAACTTTGGAGCCAGCCCTGGGGCCTTTCCTGTGCACCTGTAGCTTCTCCGTCAGCCCTGACTCCCAGACACCCCAGAGCATACTTGAAACCCTAGCCCATCTCCCCATGGCCACGGTCACTGCCCTGGTCCAAGCCGGCATCTCTGGCAGGACTGGTCCAATCCCCTCCTCACTGGTGTCACTAAGATCCTCCTACATCCCTTGGTCTAACCTCCACACCCACTGCATGTAATCTCACCACACGCCTGTAATCTCAGCACTTTAGGAGGCTGAGGCAGGAGGATCACTTGCGGCCAGGAGTTTAAGACCAGCCTGACCAACGTAGAAAGACTTTGTTTCTACAGAAAATAAAAGAAACAAAATTAGCCAGGCATGAAGATGTGTGCCTGTGGTCCCCACTACTTGGGAGGCTGAGGTGGGAGGATCACTTGAGCCGGAGGGGTTGAGGCTGCAGTGAGCCATGACTGCACCACTGCATTCCAGCCTGGGCAACAGAGCAAGATCCTGTCTCAAAAAAAAAAAAAAAAAAAAAAAAAAGACAGAGAGAGAGGCCAGGCACTTTGGTTCACGCCTGTAATCCCAGCACTTTGGGAGGCTAAGGTGGGTGGATCACGAGGTCAGGAGTTCGAGACCAGCCTGACCAACATGGTGAAATCCTGTCTCTAGTAAAAATTTTAAAAATTAGTTGGACATGGTGGCACATGCCTGCAGTCCCAGCTACTCAGGAGGCTGTGGCAGGTTAATTGCTTGAACCTGGGAGGTTGCAGTGAGCTGACATCATGCCGCTGCACACCAGCCTGGGCAGCAGAGCCAGATTCTAACTCAAAAAAGAAAAAAAAAGAAAAAGGAGTGAGAACATGAGTCAGATCCTCCCACCCCTCTCCTGAAGACCCCCTGCCTGGCAGCACCCGCCTCACTGGGAGGGGAGGCTGAGACTGGACAGTGACCATGCCAGAAGGGGAGGCTGGGATTGGACAATGGCTGTGTGTGAGGGGCTGCTCTTAGCTCCCATTATTTCCATCACTCCTGCTGCAGCTACATAGGCCTCCAGACCCCTTCAAACTACAGGCCGCCCTGTGGCAGTGCCTTTGCACGTGCCCTGTGCGCATGCGCGACTCCTCTTCCTAGTTATTCCCACGGCCCTCCTCACCTTGTGCGCATGTGCGGCTCCTTGTCTCTAGTTCTCCCCACGGCCTTCCTCACCCTGTGTGCCTGTGCGGCTCCTCTTCCCTAGTTATCCCACGGCCTCCGTCACCCTGTGCGCATGTGCAGCCTCCCTCATCCTGTGCGCATGTGCGGTTCCTCTTTCCTAGTTACCCCCACGGCCTCCCTGACGTTTTTCAGGTCTTTACCCACAGGTCACTCACTCATCATGCTCTCCCCATCTGAAGTGAACCCTGCCCGCCTCGCAGCTACTGTGCTTGACTCGGTGGCCCTCATCACCACCTGACACGTCAACTTCCTTCTGCTCTTGCTTTTACCCATCTCCATCACTCAACTACAAGCACCAAGGGGACAAGGGCCATCATCTGTTCTGCTCACTGCAGAATCCTCGGTGGCTGAAACAGTGCCCTGTGCAGACAAGGTACTCAGTTAGCTGGGGACTGGACTGATCTCCTCGTCCCCCACATGCTGCCTGCCCACCTCGGTGGCTTCAGGGGTGTGTGGCCTGTGCTTGGCTCAGAAGGGCCCCCATGCCTGGGGATGCTCCCCTGTCACCATCTTGCAATTCCTTTTCTTTTTTTTTTTTTTTTTTTGGAGACAGAGTTTCACTCCTTTTGCCCACGCTGGAGTGCAATGGCGCAATCTTGACTCACCGCAACCTCCACCTCCCGGGTTCAAGCGATTCAGCGATTCTCCCGCCTCAGCCTCCCAAGTAGCTGGGATTACAGGCATGCACCACCACACCCGGCTAATTTTGTATTTTGAATAGAGATGGGATTTCTCCAAGTTGGTCAGGCTGGTCTCAAACTCCTGACCTCAGGTGATCCGCCTGCCGCGGCCTTCCAAAGTGCTGGGATTACAAGCGTGAGCTACCGCGCCAGGCCTGAAATTCTTATTTTTTGAGCAAAGGGCCCTGCGTTTTCATTTTGCATGAGGACCTGGGAATTATGTTGCAGGGCTGCCATTGTCTCTTGCCCATTAGCTGAAGGGAGTACAGATGTCACTGTCCCAGGCATCTCTGCCAGGGCCACACTCAGGAGGTTCTCCCCCTGGAATGCTGACCCCGGCTCTTTTGTTCCAGGGCAGTCAGCCCTCAGCATGTCCTCAGGGCTGCCCAAGCCTGGCCCTGTCCTCCCTTCCCCAACTAAGGCAGCCAGAGAGCTCAATGTGAAACCCACCTTCTCACCCAGCCACACCACACCTTCAGGGGCTGAAATCTCAGAGGGGCTGGAGGTCAAAGCCCAGAAAGTGACAGATGCTGGTGGGGGAGGGGAATCTCCCTCAGGAAGGGGACCACCCCCACGTGAGGAGGGGTACATGACTAAAGCCGTCTCATCCCTCTCCCCATCCATGGTCTCCTCAAGAGGGAAAATAGCTGAAATTGGATGGGAGTAGCTTGAGGTCTTGGGACATGCTAACCCCAATTCCTTTGGGGGAAAGTGGTTACCCAAGAAGGTTCCAGAACTGAGAAGGGCCTGGGGCTGGGGGCTGTTTCACCTGAAAACAGGTTCTCTGGATGAAGAAGGAGCAGAGCATGGCTGGAGGGGGCTAGAGCCAGGATGAAAGTAAAACCTTCACCCCCCCAGGCCAGGTGCAGTGGCTCACGTCTGTAATCCCAGCACTTTGGGAGAACGAGGCAGGCAGATTACGAGGTCAGGAGTTTGAGACCAGTCTGGGCAATACAGTGAAACCTTGTCTCTAATAAAAATATAAAAATTAGCCAGGCATGGTGGCACGCGCCTGTAGTCCCAGTTACTCGGAAGCTGAGGCAGAAGAATCGGTTGAACCAGGGAGATGGAGTTTGCAGTGAGCCGAGATTGAGCCACTGCACTCCAGCCTGCGTGACAGAGCAAGACTCCGTCTCAAAAAAACAAAAGAACAACAAAAAAAACCCTTAGCCACGACCAGCCCTCTCACTGCTGTCCTGAGCCTGTCCCCACCTCTGGGGTCCAATCCATACCCCAGGCTAGAAGGGAGCCATTAGTGGGCCAAGGTGAGAGGGTGGCGGGCACTGGCCCTTGGTGCTCAGAGGCATCCTCCAGGGCATTCTCAGGCCTGCCTCCGTGGACAAGGGGCATCTATGGATGGGGTGTGGGTCAGAGGGAAGAGTGGACTCCTCCCAGCCAGCAGGAGGCCAGCCCCTGCCCCGGCATCTCCCCCAGGGCAGGTTCCTCTTCCCCTCAAGGACAGCTGCTAAGTGGTGTGCGTGTGCAGGCACAGGAGGCTGCCTTCAGGGTGGGGCGACTGGGGGGCTGGCTGAGCCTGGGGTGACTTTGGAGCTGGGGGATGGAGGGAAGGGGCCGGGCACCCAGAAGGGACCCTGGAAGCAAGTCTCATGGTGAAAGCCCTGGGCTCAGGGGGCCGTGGAGGACACTGCTGGACACCCCCCACCTCGTGGCCCAAACTCAGCTGTACTTTGCTGAATCAAAATACATCTTACTCCAAAGCAGGCCAGCGTTGCCATGACAACCGAGCTAATTCATGGAGGGATTTCTCCTCTGATTTATTACACCCGCCCCTGTGAGTCAGAGAGCACAGACGGGGCCAGGGCAGGTGTCTCTCCTGCCCCAGAGGCCAGGCAGAACAGGCAGAGACCCAGGTGAGGGTGGGAGCCCCCACACCTCCCCAGAATGGCCACAATAGAAGGGAAGAGGAACCCCCAGAGTTGAAGCCCCCACTTCTCCTGCCCCTGGCCTAAGGCCGAGGTCGTTGCTGGCATTTACTGAGCACTTACTGAATGCCTGGGCTTCAAGTGCCAAGGCTCACTGGTCTTAGGACCCCAACGTGAGGCTGACATCCCATCCTACAGATGAGGAGACTGAGGTCCACTGAGCTGGAGTTGTCTGTGCCCAAGGTCGTGCGACCACTAGGTGGAAGCCTTTACCTAGCCTTCCCTCTCAATCCCCACACCTGCTTTCCAGGCTCAGCTGAGGCTGCCTCTGTCCATAAGCTCTCCCTTGCTGAGCCCTGGGACTTGAAATCAGCTTCAGGCCAGCCTGCAAGGCACCAGTGCTCCCTTGCTCTTACTGCACACAATAGACAGGAGCTGGCCAGCCAGTCATGGGCCGCTGGTGAAGCGGGGAGGGAGAGCGGTTGTCCCTCTGGGACTGTAGGTCCTCCCACCTCCCAGGAGCCAGTCCTAGTCCTTGGCATCCCCCTGGAAGAAGGGGAGGTGGACTCCCTGGATTACAGTCTGTGGGGGTGGAGTGAGGAGGGAGGATACCCAGACCCCACATGCCGACCCGCAGAGCCCTGCCTGTGCCCGCACAGGTGCCCTGACACACTGACACGGCTATACGTGCGCAGCCGCACACGCGGCTGGTCCACACACCCATCCATCCATCTCCAGCGGCCCCCAGGGAGGCTACGCGCTAAGCCAGGATGAGTGCTGGGATCAGGGCTCCCAGCTCCCAGCCCTTTACCCGGGCCCCCACAGCGCAAGCTAGGGATGGCCAATGGTGGTCCCCGACTCCCTCATGGCCTCTTTTCCCAGCAGGGATGCTGAGGACCTGGGTCTGCTGGAGCCTGACTGAGCAGGGCCACAAGCCCTTGCCCCCAGGCCGGCCCTGCCTGGAGTCCAGCCTGCCCTGGGCTGGGCGACCTTGGGCCTCTGCTCTCCCATCAGTAAATGGCCCCCCCACCGGCCACGCCAGGGCAGCCACACCCCCAGCGTGGTCCTGCCCCCACCTTCCCTGCAAAGCGTGTTATTAAACATGGGGCTGGGAGGGGGTCTGCCAGGGACTGTCAGCTCCCGGGTCGCTCCTCGCCACAGGGGCCCCCCTCCCTGTCTGCCCGGTGCGTGTGGTGGGGGGGGGGCATCCGCCTCGCCCTTTGCAGGCCCCAGCAGAGACCTCCAGCTGTCAGCCTGCAGCCTGAGAAGGGAGGGGGACAGAGGCAGGGAAGGAGGGATGCGAACGCCCGCGGCCCAGGAGGCGGGTGCCGCCAGGTGCCCGCTGGGGGGCTCAGGGTGACAGCCGGCGCTCGGGGCCGCCCCATCTCCAGTGCTGGGGGCAGCGGGTGGGGGGCACGGACTGAAGGTCTGGGAGCTGCTGGCCCCGCCCCGCCCCCGGGGACCCGACAGCGTCCCCTCCCCGCCCGTCGCCGGGCGGGGTAGGGGCTTCCGCGCCGGGGAGAGGCCCCGGGGCTCCCGCCCGCGCCCCGTGTCCCCGGCACTCACTGGCCTTCCCGGGCCGCGGCCTCTGCAGCAGCCTCTGCGCGGTCCCTACGTCCTCCGCCTTCACCGCCTGCACCAGCTCCTGCTCCTTCCCCATGGCGCGGCCGGGGCCGCAGCGACGCGGCTGCGCTCGTGCGCTCGGCGCGGCTCAGAGGCGGCGGCGGCCCCGCGGCACCGGCCGCCTCCTCCGCCGCCTCCTCGCCGCCCGCCGCCCCTTCGCCCTCCTCAGGCTCCGGCTCGGGCTCCGGCTACCGGCGCGGAGGGGGCGGGGAGCGCGTCACGGGCGGGGGGCGGCCCGGGGGCGGGGGCGCGTGGCGGGCGCGGGGCGGGGGCGCGGCACCTGGCGCCGCCTCCCGGACGCCGGGGTCCGCACCCGGGCCGCCGACCTCCGTCAGCCCGCGCCGGCCGCGCGCCCGGGCCCGTGGCTCCGCCCTCCCCGCGCCCGCCCCGGGACGCCCCCTCCCCACGTGCGCGCCGCGCGCTCAGGCTCGGCCTCTGCGGACGCGGGCGGTCTGGGGCGGCTAACCCGGTTGAGGACGCGGCCGCCGGGGATGGACTGGAAGCCCCGACGCGGCGGCGGTGGCGGCGCGGGGCTGAGCCGGGAGACGCTTCCAGAGGCTGCGGGACCCGCGGGGGAGGGTTCCGAGGCAGCGGGCGGGCGGGGACTGGGCACTGAGAGACCGAGGCGCCAGTGGCCCCGGAGCCGGCCCGCCAGGCTGTCAGGCGTTCCTGGCCCGGGGTTCCCGTGGGAGGTGTCGAGGGATTGTGAAGAGGAATCTCCCAATAATGAATTCGGTGTCAGGGAACCCGCACCCCAAACCCCCAAGCATCCTTCTGCTGATCTCCGCAAATAATGCGGGTGCCACAGCTTCCCCCAGCCTCGGTCCGAAGCCAGACCTCAGAGTGGTCCCCACTCCCACCACGGAGGGAGCTCAACTCCCCACTCCCGGCACCGACTGGGGGTCACCTCCATCTCCACCCCTACAGGACTGGAACTTCCCGCGGGCACCAACCTGCCCCCGGTCTACACCTGTCCACTCTCCAGCCTGCAGCCCAGGCAAGCTGGTCCGGCTTCATGGGTGCTGGAGGCCCCGTCTTGTCACCCACTGAGCTGCCTGAAGGCTTGGGCCACCCTGTGCCTCAGGCCCCCTCCCATCGGGCCTGCAGCATTCTAGAGGCAGATCACTGGGGGTCTGAGTCTGGGCTCCAGTTCCATTTCCCTCATCACCCAAGCAGGCAAGGCTGTTAGGGGAATTTGGGGAGGGTGGCACCCATCCTATGAGGGTGGCCTGACACCCCCACTCCCTGTGGCCCCAGACCATTGAGCAGGTCGAGGGATGGAGGAGGTCAGAGGGCAGAGACAGGGAAGGTATCAGGGAGTGGGGTCCTGGCGTCCTGTCCGCAGCTGGCAGTTCCCTCTGTGGGATCTCCTGTTAAGTTTAGGTAGCAGCCCTCGGTCTTTCAGCATATGCTGGGCTCCTGGGGGGTCCCTAAATGCTAGGGCCCTTCCTCTTGCCCTTTCCAGCAACCAGTTGAGTACCTGCTGGGTCAGGCACTGTGCTGGTCGCCTCCTAGATGAGATTGGACTCACTGTCCCCATTTTACAGATGAATAAACTGAGGCTTGAAGAAGCTAAGGGACTCACCTGGGGTCTCAGAGTCTTGAGGTTGTGAGTCTGGGCTGTGCACCCATACCTCTGGATGTGTCCTATTTGCCCTCTTAGTTGGTTTGTGACCATGAGCTGGTCACTTTTTCTTTTTTATTGAGACAGGGTCTTGCTCTGTTGCCCAGGCTGGGGTGCAGTGGTGCCATCATAGCTCACTGCAGCCTCCGACCTCCCAGGCTCAAGCGATCCTCCTGCCTCAGCCTCCTGAGTAGCACCTGGATAATTTTTTTGATTTTTTTTAGTAGAGATGAGGTCTCAGTATGTTACCTAGGCTGGTCTCGAACTCCTGGCCTCAAGCAATCCCCCCACCTCACCGTCCCAAAGCACTGGGATTACAGGCGTGAGCCACCATACCTGGCCCACTTTGCCTAAGTGTCTGTTTCCCTCCCTAAGCATGCTGCCTCCCCTTTGGTGAGTGGACGGTAAATTGCAATGGTATCCACAAAGCACCTCACGGCAGGCCTGAGTAAGTGCTCACAAAAATGGCTGCTGTAGCTATTGTGATATTCTTGGGTCTCTCTGCCTGCGAAGCAACTGTGTTTTATGCATCTTTGTATCAAGGTACCGCACTGTGAACAGCACATAGGAAGAACTAACACTAAAACTAAGATAGCTACTGGCATTACTATTATTTTTATGTTTTGGCATGTTACAGCAGACCACCCTGACCTGTGCTTACCATACAGAGGTTCATGTACCAAGTATTCAAACATTTAAATGATACAAATCATGCCAGTAACCCATTAAAAGCATGTTCTGTTTTCCTACCTTAACTATACCTTCATTATGACCCGAAAGCCCAAGTTCAAATGGAGAATCCTCAGATTCCTTGGGTGAGGAGCTGGCCCCTGTTTGTAGCAACTCCACCTATTCTCTGCTCAGCTCCAGCACTGTCCACATGCCACAAACAGCACCTCCAGGGTTGCTCCTCAGAGCTAGGGTGGGCACCTGCTCTGCAGCCCACCTGCAGGAGGACAGACTGGACAGACTGGGCTGTGTGGGTGCTGGGAGTGGGCTCAGGTCTGTTTGGGCAGGGAACTCCAGGGTCCTAGGTGCTCAGAGTATGAGCTACAATGGGGGCCCAGGCTCCAGGTGGGTTCCTGCTCAGGACCTCAGAGATTCCTCACCCCATAGGGGTGCAGCATGGCAGGAGGAGACCAGAGCCTTCTGCTGGGTGAAGCTGAAGCCCAGGAGCGGCCGGGAAGCCTCAGATCTGTTACTGCAACCAGTGACCTTGGATGAGTCCCTGATGCTCGGCTGCCTCATCTGTGAAATGGGCCAGCAGCTCTGCTTGCAGCCTAGGGCTGATGAGAAAACAGATGTGCACATCTGCCTGGGGTCCCCGAAGCCTGGGGTTGGGGGAGGCAGGGCAGGCAGCCGCTCAGGCTGGGGGATGAGGATGCACAGGCATGGGACTCCAGGAAGCCAGACCTCTGAGGATGATCCTGGGAGGGGGTCGCTGAGCCAGCAGAATTGCTGAGGCTTAGCCTGGAATGGAGCTGGTGACAGCGTCACTGCAGCCTGGGCTGGCCTCCTTCCCAGATGCATGGCATGCGCTAGCCAGCCCGCAGCCCCTTCCTCCGCCCACCGGCTGTGTGTCTGCTCAGGGGCTCCCTGGTGGTCCCTCGAGCCCCCGTCCCTCAAGCCCCCAAAGCCCTGGAATGGGCATGAGGAATGGGCCCTCCCGAGTCCTGTGCTGCCTGCTATGGCTCCTCTCATTCCTGCGATGCTGCCTCTGACCATCACTGAGGATTGGCCCCCAGGCACCACTGCCCCCGCCTCCTGCCCCACAGAAATGCAGAAGCCACTCAGACTGGGCTGGGGCCATGCCTGGTTTGTCAGCTTCCCCCAGGCTTGGAACACATGCAGGCTCCCAGAGCTGCCCCCTGCCCTCAGCCCCCTGGCACCGCCCAGAGGCCCCACAGAAAAGGCAATCAGTGCAGGGCCCTGAGACACGTGGGACCCCAGGCACCTGGCTGAGCCTGCCTCAGCCCCAGCCTGTCTCCTGCTCTCTGCTCCCGGGTCTATGATCCAGACGCTGCTGGGGTTCACACGTGCTTCCTCTTCCAGCCATCCAAGCCCACACATTCATCTCTACTCCACAAAGCTGCTTCAAGCCTGATGTGGAGCCTGACTAGCCAGCCCCTGTCTATGGCGAGAGGAAGATGAGGAAGACTATGGCATGCAGGGGCGACCTGGGGACTAGTCACCTTGCCAGAACGGGCATGATCAGCTGCAGGTGGAGCCCAGCAGGACGGGGCCCAGCCTAGAACGAAATCTGGACTCCACTGCCTTCCAGCCCTATGCGCTCTACATGCAATTCCGCATCTCTGAGTCTCGGTTTTCTCGTCTCCAGAATGAGGGCAATTCCTCCCTAGTGGAGTCATTGTGAGGACTCCACGCATAACGGGCGTAAAACACTCCTATAGCCCAGCAATTCCACTCCAAGTGTTTATCCAAGAGATGCAAACACATTCTCAGACACTGGCACACAACCATTAATTCACAACAGCCAAAAAGGAGGAAACAGCCCAAATGTCCACCTATGGACGAGGAGATACATGCAGTGTTCTCTAGTCATACACTGGAATATTACTCAGCCATAGAAAGATAATGCTTTGGCTGGGCATGGTGGCTCATGCCTGTAATCGTAGCACTTTGGGTGTTTAGAGCTGTTATCTCTCACCTCTCAGCACAAAGGTGGGTCTATTGCTTCAGCCCAGGGGTTCAAGACCAGCCTGGGCAACAGTGAGACCCCTGTCTCTACAAAACAAACAAAAAGTTTTCTTTTCTTTTCTTTTTTTTTTTTTGAGACAGAGTCTCGCTCTGTTACCCAGGCTGGACTGCAGTGGCATGATCTCAGCTTACTGCAACCTCTGCCTCCCGGGTTCAAACAGTTTTCCTGTCTTGGCCTCCCTAGTAGCTGGGACTACAGTTGCAGGACAGTACTCCCAGCTAATTTTTGTATTTTTAGTAGAGACAGGGTTTCACCATATTGGTCAGGCTGGTCTTGAACTCCTGACCTCAAGTGATCCACCCACCTCAGCTCCCTAAAGTGCTGGGATTACAGGTGTGAGCCACCATGCCTGGCCTACACCCAGCTAATTTTAAAAAGTTTTTGCCCAGAAGTCTGCCATCTTGCCCAGGTTGGTCTTGAACTCCTGGGATCAAGTGATCCTCCCACCTGGGCCTCCCAAAGTGCTGGGATTACAGGTGTGAGCTACCATGCCCAGCCAAAAGAAAATATTACTAGAGATGCTCAAAACCAGTTTGGCAGGTAAGGGGTAGAGAGAAAAGCATCCCAGGCACAGTCGAGGGCTCAAAGGGGAGATTATGGTTGGGTACAGTGGCTCACACCTGTAATCCCAGCACTTTGGGAAGCCAAGGCGGGCGGAACCCAAGGTCAGGAGTTTGAGACAAGCCTGGCCAACATAGTGAAACTCTATCTCCACTAAAAATGCAAAAAAATTAGCTGGGCTTGGTGGCAGGTGCCTATAATTCCAGGTACTCAGGAGGCTGAAGCAGGAGAGTCACTTGAACCCAGGAGGCAGAGGTTGCAGTGAGACAAGATTGAGCCATTGCACTCCAGCCTGGGCAACAAGAATGAAACTCCATCTCAAAAAAAAAAAAAAAAGTGGGGAAGAACATGTTTCCTCTGGCCAAAGTAGAGGACCAATGCGGTATTATTCTATTTTCATACTGCAATAAAGAACACGTGAGATTGGATAACTTATAAAGGAAAGAGTCCTTTCCTGAATTGACTCACAGTTCAGCATGGCTGGAGAGGCCTCAAGAAACTTACAATCATGGCAGAAGGCGAAGGGGAAGCAAGACACCTTCTTTTAAAGGCGGCAGGAAGGAAAAGTGGAGCGAAGTGGGAGGAACCCCTTGTAAGACCAACAGATCTCTTGAGAACTCACTCACTATCATGAGAACAGCACGGGGAACCCGCCCTCATGATTCAATTACCTCCACCTGGTCTCTCCCTTGACACTTGGGGATTATGGGGATTACAATTCAAGATGAGACTTGGGTGGGGACGCAAAGCCTCACTGGATCACATGGAGAGGAGATGGAAGCCACAGGGTGGGCCAGGGCCAGGAGTCTGGAGAGGGACGGGACCCCTAAAGTCTTCTAATGGGGTGATGGAAGTCATTCCTAGGTTTTGTTATGAGTTTCTGTTTTGAGAAAAGATCTTGCTCTGTCACCCAGGCTGGAGTGCAGTGGTGCAATCACAGCTCACTGAAGCCTCGAATTCCTGGTGAGTGATCCTTCCACCTCAGCCTCTCAAGTAGCTGGGACGACAGGCATGCACTACCATTCCTGGCTAATTTTTACTTTTTTGGTAGAGAAGGGGTCTCATTGTATTGTCCAGGATGGTCTTGAACTCCTGGCCTCAAGTGATCCTCCTGCCTCAGCCTTCCAAAGTCCTGGGATTACAGGCATGAACCACTGTGCTGGGCCCAGACTGAGGTTTTTAAAAGGCCATTCTGCCCTGTGGAGGACAGTCTGGAAGGGGGCCAGAGTGGCTGGGGCAAGGGAGGAGGCTGTTATGGGGGCTACAGGGGTGAACTAGAGCCAGGGTAGTGGAAAGGAAGGTAGGTGACAGGTAAAATCGGCAGTGGAAGGGAAGGGTGAGGGAGGGGAGCTATCGGATCTTGCCCAGCTGTAATACAAGGTGGGCACTACCCACAGAAGGGGCTACTCAGCAATGAGTTGTCTTGGCCATGGAAGGTGGTGGTGTCTGCGGGGCATTCTAGGGACAGTGTCCAACAGGGGACTGAGGCCATCAGAGCTAGAGACAGGGTTGAAGGTGCCCAGCATTGGGACAGCCGAGGAAACCTTGGAGCTAGCAGTTGCCAGCCCCCTGGGATCTCGTTGGGTGCAGAGGGAACTCTGGGGGGGGGCAGTCTTTGGAGGGAGGCAGGAAAAGAGACTAAATACCAAGGGGCTAAGAGAAGGCAGCCTTTCAGGCATGGTGCTGCCAACCATGGTGCAGATGTGTCAAGAATTGGGAGGAGGCTGGGTGTGGTGGCTCATGCCTGTAATCCCAGCACTTTGGGAGGCTAAGGTGGGCAGATCACTTGAGGTCTGGAGTTTGAGACCAGCCCGGCCACCATGGTGAAACCCCATCTCTACTAAAAATAAAAAAATCAGCCTGATGTGGTGGCAGGTGCCTACAATCCCAGCTACTCGGGAGGCTGAGGCAGGAGAATCACTTGAACCTGGGAGGTGGAGGTTTTGCAGTGAGCCGAGATCCCACCACTGCACTCCAGCCTGGGCAACAAGAACCAGACTCCACCTCAAAACAAAACAAAACAAACAAAAAAAACAACAAAACTCCGGGTGCAGTGGCTCATGCCTGTAATCCCAACACTTTGGAAGGCTGACGTGGGTGGAGCAAGAGGTCAGGAGTTCAAGACCAGCCTGACCAACATGGTGAAACCCATCTCTACTAAAATACAAAAATTAGCTGGGCGTGGTGGTGCATGCCTGTAGTCCTAGCTACTCAGGAGGCTGAAGCAGGAGAATCGCTTGAACATGGGAGGCAGAGGTTGCCCTGAGCCAAGATCGTGCCGCTGCACTCCAGCCTGGGCAACAGAGCACGACTCCGTCTCAAAAAAAAAAAAAAAAAAAGAAGAAAGAAAGAAAGTGGGAGGAAAAGCATCCACTGGGATTTAGCAAAATGAGATTGTCAGTGACCTTGAGGAATTTCCATTGGAGAGTTAGAGAGCCAGGGGTAAAAGGCAGATGACTAGGGCTGCAGAATGAGTGGGAGGTGAAGATGTGGAGCTAGAAAAATGGTCAGGACCGCTACTGGAAGAGTTTGGGATTGCTTTATGGTGTTTAAAGTCTAAGGGGCAGGAAGGAGGAGAGGTGAAGGTATAGAAAGGAAGGCTCCTGCGAACGAGGGCCTGGTCAAGGGACAAGATGCACCCTGTTTGCGGCCAGAGGAAGGGCTACAGCCGCGTCTGTAAGAGCAGTGGGAAAAAATATGTGGGAGCCTGTCTAAAGGGTGAGGGCACCGGCGTGGGTGTACCGGCTGGAATGAGGGACCGTGGTTTTGAGGCGGATCCTGGGTTCAGTGTGATGTCCTGAGGGTCAGGCTGGGGCTGGGGCGCCAGATCTAGCAAGTAAAACTACAGGATGCCCAGTTAACTTTGAAGTGTAGGTAAGCAAGTAAAATATTTTAGCATAAGCATTTCCCATGCAATGTCCGGGATATACTTACACTAATATATATGTATATATATGTTACTTATCTGAATTCAAGTCCTGTAATTTACAGCCAACCCTAGCCCAGCGTGGAGAAGTAGTGGGTCAGGGAGGGCACCGGAACGGCGCGACCCGACAGCCTGGGAAACCGAGTGCGCCGTGGGGAGGAGGCCGGGGACAGAACTGCGGCTTCCTTCCACGCCCCGCGGGGCCCGCCGCGGCGCACGGAGACCGCTCAGGATTCGTCCTGGCGGGAACTCCCCGCCCTAGAACTTTGGTCTCGTCCCACCCACCCCCGCCCGCCCCATGGTCTCGCCCTAGGGAGCCATCGATAACTCTACGCTCGGTCTCGGCCTCGATCGACTCGCTCCGGCTCCCCTCGCCGTCCTGGACACGGTGGAGTGCGGAGCCGCCCGTAAGGTACGGAGGCCGCGAGCCAGGGGCCGGGAACCAGCTGCTGGGTGGCTGGGAGAGCGCGGCCGGGAAAGCCAGCCAGCAGGACGGAGCAAGGGCGGTCGGAGGAAGACAGGGGAGCTCAGGGGATTCAGCCAGATAGCACCCATTCCCATCAGGGCCTGCAGTCGGCCTGCTACGCATGCGCAGCCGCAGCGCTCCGCTTCCCCAGGCCCTCCCGCCGCCTTGCGCACGCGCGGCGCGCCCCTGCGGCAGAGTGGCGTGTGCGCGTGACTGCCCCCTGCGGGCTGCGGCGGGGACGGCGCCCCCTCCGGCTGCGTGGGGCGGGGACGGAGCGCGCGCCCTGGAGCCCCAGCGTCGCCCGGAGCCGAGTGTCACGCGTGTCCCTGAACCTACCTGCGCTTGTTTTCCCATCTGTAAAGTGGGAATGATAAGCCCCATCCGGCAGCGCCCCATGGGCCTGTAATCTATTTAGCACAGAGGGTGTTAAGTACTGCATACCCCTCTCCTCTGCAGATGCTCTGACCTTTCACTCCTGCCGTTCAGCTCTAGGGCCCCTGCTGGCCACACCATGAACACCTCCCCAGGCACCGTGGGCAGTGACCCGGTCATCCTGGCCACTGCAGGCTATGACCACACCGTGCGGTTCTGGCAGGCCCACAGTGGCATCTGCACCCGGACTGTCCAGCACCAAGACTCTGTATCCTCCACCCGGGGCGGGCAGCATGGCGCTGTGGGGGTGCCTCATGTGGGGACAACAGCCTGGCTGAAAACCAGATGGTGGAGGCCTGGGAGCCCCTGGCCCAGGGCTGCTCTCCCCTCATCCTCCCGTCATCCTCCTTAACAGTCCCAGCAGGTGAATGCCTTGGAGATCACACCAGACCGAAGCATGATTGCTGCTGCAGGTATCTGTGACCCCTGACCTCTCACCCCTGACCTCTGGCGGGTCGACCTAAGCACAGCCAAGCTTCAGTTCAGCCTATGTCCTTAGGTTACCAGCACATCCGAATGTACGATCTCAACTCCAATAACCCCAACCCCATCATCAGCTATGATGGTGTCAACAAGAACATCGCATCTGTGGGCTTCCACGAAGACGGCCGATGGATGTACACGGGAGGCGAGGACTGCACAGCCAGGATCTGGGACCTCAGGTGTGGTGGGGAGGGGTCTGCTGCCTGGGGCTGGGGTGGGCCGCTCCTGGGAGACGTTTTTAGGTTGGGTTCTTTCCAAGCAGAGGCTGAGACAGGGAGCTTCCTATGACCGACTTACTGAAGTAAGGACAGGGGAGTGAATTGCATCAAAGCCCGAGTCTTGCCTTGAGCCGGGAGGCTGCACATTATACCCCTTCTGCCAGTACTGGCTTACACTCCTCTCTGGAGTGGAGGGCCCTGCATCCCAAGTATTTCCCGAGCGGCGGGTCCCGTCAGTAGATGGAGGGGAGGAGTGGCCAGGCAGAGGCCATCTGGGTGGGGCACCAACAAGCCCAGACAGTCAGCATGTGTCCGGCCCGGCCCGCAGGTCCCGGAACCTGCAGTGCCAGCGGATCTTCCAGGTGAACGCGCCCATTAACTGTGTGTGCCTGCACCCCAACCAGGTGAGGAGTGCTCATGGGGCTGGGCACCCTGGGACTTGGGAGAGCCGGGCTTGAGCCCTGCCTCACCTCTCTTGTACCTCAGGCAGAGCTCATCGTGGGCGACCAGAGCGGGGCCATCCACATCTGGGACTTGAAAACAGACCACAACGAGCAGCTCATCCCTGAGCCCGAGGTCTCCATCACGTCTGCCCACATCGACCCTGACGCCAGCTACATGGCAGCCGTCAATAGTACCGTGAGTCCTGTTGGCAGGTGCTGGGTGGGGGCAGCTTGGCACTCAGCCCCCAGCCTCTGCAGGTGGGCTTATTCCTGGATGTCCCTTAGTGGCCCCCTTCTGCTTCCTCCATCCTGGGCGCTAACACCTACCCTGCCAGCAAAGCCAGAAGTCCCGATGCCTTATCCGCGTCTGCAGCTCCGTCACACTGGTTTCTGGAGTCTCTCCCAAGTTGGTCCACTTCCCTCTTTTCTCCCTGTTGCCTCCTGGTTCTACTCACCCTCGTCTCCCATGACAGCTGACATTCTCTGAGGCCTCCTTACCTCCTCCTGATGTCCCCCCGCCCTGACCTATTCTCCCTTGGACGCTTCTAGTGGTGCCTGGTCAGCACCGGCCAGGTGGTGGTGTTCCCCTGTGGAGACCCAGGGCTGCTGGCCTCGCCTGTAGGCTGCCGTGGCGTGGCCCCTGCTCTCCTCTCCAGCCTCCTTTTTTTCCATTAACTCCATTTAATCCCAGCGCCTCACTTGTCCCTCTTGTCCCGGGACTTCCCTTCTCCCAGCCTTGGTCATGCCGTCCCTCTAGCTGGTGCCCTTCTCCCAGATACTCCCATTGGCCAGGGACATTCTCCAGAAAGGATAATTTGAGTCCTTGGCCAGGTATGGCCTCCTGTTCTTGGCTTGCCGGCTGTGGCTCTTCGTTGGGGCCAGACTGCCCAGGTGCCTCCTGCAGGCAGGTCTGGAGGGGCCTGCCCCTGACCCCGGGTCCCCATGCACAGTTGATTCCCAGTGTTGTGCCTCAAGGGCATCCTTCCCTGTATCTCAGACCTGAGGCCTCGGGCCACTGGTGATGGTCCTCCTGCCTTTAGGGATACTGCTATGTCTGGAATCTGACGGGGGGCATTGGTGACGAGGTGACCCAGCTCATCCCCAAGACCAAGATCCCCGCCCACACCCGCTACGCCCTGCAGTGCCGCTTCAGCCCCGACTCCACGTGTGTGCAGGGCCTGCTGGCCCGGGAGGGGACCTGCCTGGGTGGGGGGCTGGACAGGGGAGGGGCTGCTGGGTGCATGTCAGGGGCTGCAGGGTGGAGTGGCTGCTGCTGGACACGCCCCACCCCCACCCCCCCCCCCCCCCCCAGGCTCCTCGCCACCTGCTCAGCTGATCAGACGTGCAAGATCTGGAGGACGTCCAACTTCTCCCTGATGACAGAGCTGAGCATCAAGAGCGGCAACCCTGGGGAGTCCTCCCGCGGCTGGATGTGGGGCTGTGCCTTCTCGGGGGACTCCCAGTACATCGTCACTGGTGAGCTCCGCCCCAGCCTCCCCCATCCCTGGCCTCCAGAGCCAGCCCACCTAGGCTGCTGCTCCCCCTCTCCTTGGGCTCTCTGACCAGCCTGCACCTGTGCCCTGAGCCCTGCCCATCGTCCCCCTCCAGCTTCTTCAGACAACCTGGCCCGGCTCTGGTGTGTGGAGACTGGAGAGATCAAAAGAGAGTATGGCGGCCACCAGAAGGCTGTCGTCTGCCTGGCCTTCAACGACAGTGTGCTGGGCTAGCCTGTGCACGCTCAGGTCTGCCTGGTGCAGGTGGTGGCAACTGGAGGGACCCGTGCAGCATCCAGGACACAGTGGGGCCTACGGCCAGCCTGTGCCAGCTGGACCCGACGGCCCCTTGTAGCTCCTCGGCCTGCCGGGCCAGGCCACCCTAGGCCTCTCAGCCCCCAGTTGCTTGTCTGGATGTGACAGCTCAGGGTGACGCAAGCAGGGGTGCACACTCCTAGACTGGGCTAGCCTGCACTCCCTTGGAAAGTCGGCCCAGGGCTTGAAGCTGCGGAGGCATCTGAGGCTGGTGCCCACTCCCAACCCAGTGCCCTCTGTCCCCTCCCTGCCCGAGTTTCAGGACCTCAGGCCACAGAGAACACCACCACGGCCAGGTGGAAGGGTTTATTCGTCCCCGCCGGCAGCTGTCCTCCCTGGTGTGGGTGATCTGGCCATCCCGCTGGACTGGGGACTGGGACTGGGCTTGGCCAGTTCAGGGGCTCAGTCTGGGAGGTAATAAAAGCAGACCGACACGCAGATGTTGCTTGGGAAGCAGATGTCGATGCAGAGATAGATGAGCCGCTGCCTCCGGGGCCCTGTGGTGAGGGCGCCGTGAATCCCAAAGAGCTGTGCCCCCAGCTCCTCCGTGGGCCCGGCCTCCCCATGCAGCAACCCCAACTCACCCTCCACTCGCTGGGCCCAGTAGATGGGGGTCCTTGCACACAGGTGCTGCACCAAAGCTCCCACCTGGGTGGGGTCCACCTCGTGGCTCCCCAGCACTGCCAGCAGCTCCTGGGTGTGGTGGGTGTCCTGGCTGGGGCCCCGAGTCCCTTGGGCCTGCTGAGAAGACTGGTGGGCCATGGGAGGGGACTGCTCCCTGCTCCTGGCTGGACGGGGCCGGGCCCCTCCCAACCCCAGTGATGGCCCCACCCTCGGCTCTTGTCAGCAGCCTGTGCTCAGGGAGGAGAGCTTCCTGTTCCCTGAAACCAGAGCCTCAGCCTGCCCTGCTCTGGGCTGCACACAGGACCCTTTGTCTGGCCCCTGGCTGGGGGATGCGCCCAGCAGGACGGCTCACCTTGGAGGTATCCACCAGCAGCCGCAGGGTCTCCCGATCACTGTCCCCCATCAGGCGGAGGAAGCAGGTGTGGTGCTCCTCAGGGCGGTAACAGATGCAGCCCTGGGGAGGCAGGGGGGTGAGGCAGGGCCACCGTGACTGACACCTGTGAGGGCAATCCCTCCCTGCCCACTCACGCTCTGTCCGTCGAACAGCACCACCCAGCTGTGGTTGCTCTGAGGTGGGGTCACTGTGATGGTCGCCGCATTCTGGGCCACGTCCACCAGGATGGTTTGGTTGGGCCTGGGCACGTGGGGGCTCGGGAGGGTCATTCGCAGCATCTGCAGCTGTGGCTGGCAGCGGAGTTGAGAGTTCAGCTGGGCAGCTGGGCAACCTCAGCACAGCCCCTAGCTCTGGGCTCAGGATTCTGACATCCCTGAGTGGCTCCTTATTCTCCAGCCATCTGCTCCAAGGTGGCCATATCACTGCCGGCTCTGCGCCCTGGCTCTGCTGGAGGCTGGGATATGCCAGCTTCCCCTCCCTCTTCCCACTGTCCACGACCCTGGTCCTGAGGAGGGCTCACCTTGGGAGGGCCCTGAGCGAAGCCAAGAAGCCCTCCAGCCACAGCCCCCGCAGTCAGCACCAGCAGCAGCAGCAACAGGCCCGTGGTTCTCCAGCTCCCACAGCAGGGCTTGGTCTTCACCTGGGCACACATCAGGGTCAGAGGGATCAAGGGGGTTAGAGACCAGGGAGCAAGCGGGCTGCGGAAGGGAGAGGCTGGGTGGCCCGGGGCACCCCCTGGGTCCTTGCTGTAGGAGTGATGGGAGGCCACTCACCCCTGCAGGCTCAGGTTCGGGGCGCTCTGCGCAGCAGCTTGCTGGCTCCATGCTGCAGCTCCTGCTCACAATGCGCTGATTGTCTGCGCCCCTTGTCTGCAACCTTGGCCAGGGAAACCTCAGGACGCCTCCCCTCCTGACCCCACGCCTCCCCCTCAGCTCCAGATCTGATATCCAGGTCAGAGCCAGGACAGTCCCCTCCTCCCACCTGGGGGAGACCCGTCACCAGGCCTGGCTCCAGACACCTGGCCTGCACAGACTGGAGATCAGGGTCTGGGAAACATAGTGCTTGGCCGCGTGGAAATCCAGTCCAGATGACCAACTGGAGGGCAGCGCAGGCCCAGCCAGGGTGACTCGCTAAGTGTGGTTGGGGTGGATTTCGTTTCCTAAAGCGGTCTGAGTCTCTCAGGTTACCCTCAACTCCCCAGTGCTCTCAGGGCAAAGGCCCTGGCACTCCACAAGCTGTCAGTAAATCCCGGTTCAATGAATGACTCACATGGGACTGTGCTGCTTCCCAGCCCCCCAGTGTGAGATGGGGCCAAATGGCATCCCACAGGGTACATGCCCAAGACCAGGGGTTCCTGAAGGCTGGAGTGTGGATAGGCAGTCTACTGGAGTCTGTGCCCCCTGGGATGGTCAGGCCAGCCTTGGGGGCCTGCCCAGCATGCCTTTGAGATGGAGTTTCACAGTGTCCCCCAGGTTGGAGTGCAGTGGCTGCATCTTGGGTCACTGCAACCTCTGTCTCCTGGGTTCAAGCAATTCTTCTGCCTCAGCCTCCCAAGTAGCTGGGATTATAGGCGCCCATCCCCACACCCGGCTAATTTTTGTATTTTTAGGAGACCAGGTTTCACCATGTTGGTCAGGCTGGCCTCGAATGCCTGACCTCAAGTGATCTGCCTGCCTGAGCCTCCCAAAGTGTTGGGATCACAGGCGCGAGCCATGACGCCCAGCCTAGCCGGACTTGTTTCTAACTCAGCTCTGCTCCCTGCCCTGGGCAATCTGACATAGCAGCCCATGTGTGCCCATGAGCCCCACCAGCTTCACTCCAAGACCCTTTCCTTCCCTGGTTTCCCTCATTCTCCAGAACGCGTTCCTCTGAGCCAGGCTGGGAGTGGGCAGTTGGCATTCCCACTGTGGAGTTGGAACCCCAGCCACCCATCTACTTTGAGTCCTCCCACCTGCAGTGAGACGGCGGCGCCCAGGGCCAAAGCAAGTGGAGAGCAAGGACACCTGAGCCAGTGTGGGTTTGAGAGTTTAATCTGCGCTCCGGGGCACACAGTGCCACAGCCCCTCGGGGGCTGGAGACAGGGTGCACAGGGACTCCCAGCCCCCACACGGCAAGAGGAAGGCATCCCCCAGCTGCATCTGCCGCGTGCTTCTAGCATGACTGCGTCCTGCCAGGCCAGACCCAGCTGGAACTGACCTCACCAAGCGAGCATCAGTGCCATCAACTTTGTGGGCACAGCCACCCTCATGCTGCCCTGCAGCACCCTCTGAACCTGACATCCCTGGTCTGGGAGGTGCTGAAGGCTCAGAATGCCCCTTATTGCTCTGAGAAGTCTTCATGACCAAGTGGAATGCTGTGCGGCCAGGAGAGAAGCCGCCAGGTGCAGGGCAAGGCGCCGATAGGGAGCCAGCCAGAAGGTGCAGTGTCCTGGGCTGGCCCTGCTGAGTCTGCTGTCAGGCCTGTGAAAGGTCAGCAGAGCCACAAGGCAGGCAGGAGAGGCCAGAGCCCCACTCAGAACCTTGGCGAGCTGGTGGCCCTGCCAAGTCCTCCTGCTGGCCACTGACAAGGGAATCCAGGGCAAGGCAGGTGACCTCCTGGGCCACCAGCCTCCAACGCCTACTCCAACCTAGGGAACGGAAGGACAGGAAGAGGCTGGATGCTTTGTAAAGGACTTCCTGTTCTTGGGGACACAACTCTCCTCCCCGTCCCAGAGCCCTGGATGACAGGCATTCCTTGGCCAACATGCTTTAGCCGCACTGTCGGCTGCAGGACATAAAGGTTTCTTCAGTGGTATTTTCCCTACGAGACAGAGCACAGCTATTAACACACTTAACATTCAAATCCATTGCCTGACAGTTGTTCAAAGTTAACTGTTTGGTAGCAGCACTGCTCTGAGCTCCCTGCACTGCAGCCTCCGAGTTGAGCGAAGGCGTCCCCGGCCTTGCGGGTGCTCAGTCCAAGTCACCTGGGTTTAAACGCACACTCGAGACAGCTGAGGTTTAGCTGGGCTGCATTTACAGAACTGGGCAGCTGTGTGTGAGGAGCAGCAGCCCTGGGTATCTGAAACGGAACAGACACTCAATTGTGACATCAGAGTGGTTTTCAAGGAAGCAGAGGAGGCGGAAGGGTGGTGAGGGCAGCACTTTGCACCCAAGGGCAAGGAGATGGCACCTGGGAGCAGCTCCCTCCTCCATCCCCAACCTGCTGGGAGGCAGAGGGACACAGAAGGCTCCGCTGGACTGTCAGTCACACTGATTGGGTCTTGGTCCACAAAAGCCTCTCCCAGCAGAATAATCAGTCCTTCCGCCCCCAAGGGACTGGATCCCTGAATGAGTTTTTCAATAAAGTATAGAACACACCCAGAGAACCGCCTCAGGCCCCGATACCTGAATCCCAGACAGGTGCTGAGCCTGCCCCTGCCAACCCCGCCCAAGGCCCAGAACCCACCCCACAATGCCTTCCAAGCCTAAAAGTGCAATTCCATTACAAACATCTGTAAACAAAATCGTCCCCCAAACGTTTACTTACAAGGTTAACAATGAATGCCTTTGCTTAACTCCAATTACACTCTTTGAAGCCACCTGGCCGAGAAGATGCTTAAGCCCCACCTATTAATTTGGGTAACTAATTTTCAATTTTTTTTTTTATTCTGGAGATTAAAGACACTCAATCTTTAACCTTGAAGGGCGGGCAAAAGGTCGGCTATGCTGTCAACATAGAAGTCAGGGACCATTTTCTTCTTAGACACGCAGTCACTTTCCTGATTACTCTTCACATCCCCTAGAGTGGAGACTCCGGTGAGGGTCAGAATGGTCTTGAGGCCACAAGTGACGCCCAGGAGGATGTCTGTGTCCAGGCGGTCTCCCACCATGACGGTGCGCTCGGGGTTGATGCCGTATTCCTGGGACACGCAGTCGAAGATGAAGCGGCTGGGCTTCCCGATGATGTCGGCCTGGCGCTGGGCGGCCATCTCCACGGCTCGGACCAGACAGCCGGTACCTGCGGGGCACAGGGGACCCGGTCAGAGGCCGGGGAGGGGGCCCGGGGCGCGCCCCCCAGCCTCCCGCCCCGGGGCGCACGGACCCGCGATGAAGCGGCCGTTCTCCAGCGGTAGCCGGTTGTCCATGTTGGTGCCCACGAGCAGGCAGCCGGGCTGCTGCAAGTAGCGCAGGGCTTTGGTGAGCTTCATGTAGCTGAAGTGCGGGTCAAAGCCCACGACCACAGCGCGTACGTCGGGCTCCAGCGGCGCGTGCAGCCAGTCGCCGGGACCCTCGCCCTGCAGCGGCTCGGGCCCCACGCCCACGCAGGCGACGCCCACGGCCTCCAGCTCCGCGGCCAGTGCCTGGCTGCCCAGCACGTAGGCCTTGGGCGCGGGCGCGCCAGCCAGGCGCTGGCGCAGGTAGAGCGCGGTGCAGTAGGCGGTGCCGAAGACCTCCAGGCCGGCGCCGGGCCCCGCCGGGCCGCCAAAGCCCAGGCGCCGCAGCTTCTCGGCGTAGGCCGCGCGGGTCTTGCTGCTGTTGTTGGTTATGAAGCCCAGGCGCTTGCCGTGGGCGCGCAGCGCCCGCAGGGCCTCAGGTGCGCCGGGCACGGCCGTCTCTCCGCGCCACAGCACCCCGTCGCAGTCAAACAGCAGCGTGTCCACGTTGGCCAGCAGCGCCTGGGCCCGCTCGGCGCTCAGCCGCACGCAGCGGGCGTCGTCGCCATCGGCCGCCGCCGCCGCCATGGCCGCCACCGGCCGCCGCCGCCGCCGCCGCTGGCCGCTCCTCGCAGCCGCCCGCCGCGGTGCCCTCCCCGCCCCCGGGGCGCTCATTGGCCCCGCATCTCGCGCCCGCCGCCCATTGGCCGTCGCCTTCGCCAATCCGCCCCCGCTTCCCGCGGGCTGCGGGAGATCAGCGCCAACTGGCGCGGCCCCGCGCGGGGAGGCGGGCGACCATTGGCTGCCGGGCTCGGGGCTCCCCGGTGATTGGTTGGCAGGGCGCCAACCGGCATTCGGAGTGGAGGGCTCGCTGCGGAAATGCGGCTGAGGGGAGGGTTGCGCAGGCGCAAGGCCGCGCTGCTCCCCAGCGGCCGCGGGGTCGTGCGCCCATTGGTAGCCAGTGGTCAGCTTCACGGTGAGGAAGCCCTTCACGGCGTGACGCGGGACCGGCCGGCTGCCCATTGGCCGGCTTCTCTCGCGGGTCCGGGCAGGGCTCCCGCAGGAGCGCGGCGGGAGGGTCCGGGGTCGCAGGGGACGCGTTCCGAACACCGGGCCAGCAAGTGGGTTGTTTACCGGCCAGTCCGGGAAGCCAGCCCGGGACTCCCTCCTCCGCAAGGCTGCGTGCTCGCCTCAGTCCTTTGCAAAAGCACGTTCCCCGTGCCTCGGGGGTCACACAAACCAGCCATTACCAGGCAGTGGGATTAGGGTCTAAAGACACTGCCTAGAACCTGGTACTCAAGAGTTTGCTCACCATCATCGTCACCAGTTATTAGATATTTACTTTAATTGAAGCTTACAGTAAAGGGCATGAAAACTGTGAAGCTCGATGGAAGTTTTACATTTTTACATGTATATATACATTTCGAGACACGGTCTCGTTCTATCTCCAAGGCTTGGGTTCAGTGGCTGGATCACAGCTCTCTGCAGCCTTGACCTCCCAGGCTGATGTGATGCTCCTATCTCAGCCTCCCAAGTAGCTGGCACCAGAGGTGTGTGCCACCATGCCCGACTAATTTTTTTTTTTTTTTTTTTTTTTTTTTAGCAGAGTATTGGTCTTGCCCAAGCTGGAGTGCATTAGCACAATCTTGGTTCACTGCAACCTCCGCCTCCCATGTTCAAGCGATTCTCCTGCCTCAGCCTCCCGAGTAGCCAGGATTACAGGCGCATGCCACCATGCCTGGCTAAGTTTTTGTATTTTTAGTAGGAATGGGGTTTTACCATGTTAGCAGTCTGGTCTTGAACTTCTGTCCTTAGGTGATCTGCCCGCCTCGGCCTCCCAAAGTGCTGGGATTACAGGCGTGAGCCATCTCGCCCAGCCCAATTTTCATTTTTGTTTAAATTTTTTGTAGAGACGGAGTCTCACTATGTTGTCCAGGCTGGTCTCCAACTCCTGGCCTCCAGCAATCCTCCCCATCTTGGCCTCCCAAAGTGCTGGGATTACAGGCATCAGTCACTGCACCCAGCAGATTTTTTACATATGTATATACTTGTGTAAACATAACCCAGACCAAAGTATAAAGTATTTCCAACATCCCAGAGTTCCCTCTTGTTCCTATTCAGTCAATAGCGGATAGCCCATTCCTGACCACTTTTCTGACTCCTATCAGCAAAGAGTCACGACCAAGCTTGTTTCTGTGGTTTAACATAATATCTGTGAAATTCATCCTCCTGGCTGGGTATGGTGGCTCACGCCTGTAATCCCAGAACTTTGGGAGGCTGAGGTAGGGAGATCACTTGAGGTCAGGAATTTCAGACCAGTCTGGCCAGTATGGTGAAACCCTGTCTCTACTAGAAATAAAAAAATTAGCTTGAGTGTGGTGGTGGGGCCCAGCTACTTGAGAGGCTGAGGCAGGAGAATCGCTTGAACCTGGGAGGTGGAGGTTTCAGTGAGCTGAGATCACACCATTGTACTCCAGCCTGGGCAACAGAGCAAGACTCCGTCTCAGAAAAGCAAAAAAAAAAAAAAAAAAAAAAGATGGCCTTGATTAGAAGTGGATTTGACAAAAGATGGCAAACTCTGCCTTTACCACAGAGCAACAGGCAGTTGATTTGAGATGACGGCTGGAGTGGGAACTGCTGATGATGCCCAGCCACGGGCCATCTCCCACACTGGCCTGGCTGCCTTGGCTTACTGTGGACTCCGTGAGCATCTAGGCCACGGCACCACTCCTTACCTGCATTACTTCTGAGAGTCACAGGACAGCTCTGAGGGACAGGGATTATTCACAACTCCATTTATAAATGGCCAAACAGCACGGACAGTCACCGGCTGGACAAGGTTGAGTTGGGATTAAACTCAGTCAACCCCAAAGCTGAGCTCTGCCCCATCTGGTCGGCTTAATATCTGCGGAATGTGCCAGTAAGTCTCCAGGTGGGAAGGGAAGTATGGTCACTTGTGGGCAAGGTCCTAGTGGAGACTGGGAGGGAAAGTGCATTTTTCAGGGGAGGACTGACTTTGGGAACAGCATGAGGTATCCCTGCATCTGGGGGGAAAGAACCCCTCTATGATGAGTGTCCGACACACAGGAGGCATTCATTCTTTCCCTGTGAGGGGATGGCCCTAGTGTCTCCTCAAGTAAGGATCTCATACCACAAGCTGACCTGGGGATGGCTTTCAATGGTACAAGGACAGACACTATTTCTTCTTAACAGTGTTACATCAGTGTTCATCGCATTAGAAAATATAAGTAGACATTGAATCAGTGTTTTCACAGATGTGTTCTTTCTAATGAGCTAAGCTAAAAAGAGGGATGTTGAAAAAGGATGCAAGTGGCAAAAAAAAAAAAAAAAAAAAAAAGATGCAATCTAAACGTTCTTCAGCGTGGGATCGGCTAAATAAAGGGTTTTGGAGTTCCTGTCTGGGTCTGGCCATGGAACGTCCACAGGCATTGTTGTGTTGGAGTCAGGCTGAGGCCTGGGTGGGAAAGAAGGCTGTCTGGGAAACGGAGACTAGTCTTGCTGCCTGTGCCTCTCTGCCTTCCAGGGGCCTGTCCGCTCCTGTGCCTGCCAGTAGCCTGGGCCCCAGCCAAGACAGGGCTAGACCTCACCTGGTCAGGATGCCCTTTTATTTTTGAGACAGGGTCTCACTTTGTTACCCAGGCTGGAGGGCAGTGCTGTGATCTCAGCTCAGTGCAACCTCCGCACCCACTCTGGGTTCAAGCAATTCAACTGCCTCAGCCTCCCTAGCAGCTGGGATTACAGGCATGTGCTACCATGCCTGGCTAATTTTTGTATTTTTAATAGAGATGGGGGTTTTGCTGTGTTGGCCAGGCTGGTCTCAAACTCCTGACCTCAGGTGATCCGCCTGCCTCGGCCTCCCAAAGTGTTGGAATTACAGGTGTCAGCCGCTGTTCCCAGCCCCCTTTGCCTCTTAAAGACCTCACCTCTTAATGCTGTTATGTTGGGGTTGAAGTTTCAACATGGGTTTAGAGGGGACAGGGGACAAACATCCCAACCATACTCCTGATGCCCTGGATGCCCGCTTCTCAGTTATTCCTCAGCACACCATGAATGGAGTTGTTTTGGGGTTTTGTGCTCGCCTCCTCCCTGGCTTCACCTCACCCACCCGTCTCCTGGTTCTTCTCCCCGGAAGCTCCCAGAAACCTCAAGCTCCAACCTGCTCTTCCTTCTGCTTGCCCTACTCAGAGACCACCCATCCTGGCTCTCAGTGGCTTTCTGAGCCCCCTCCTGCTTCCGCTGGGGGTCCTAAAGTCCCTTTTAGTTTTTTCTCTCTTTGTTTTGAGACAGAGTCTTGCTCTGTCACTCAGGCTGGAGTGCAGTAGCATCATGTCAGCTCGCTGCAACCTCCGCCTCCTGGGTTCAAGTGATTCTGCTGTCTCAGCCTTCTGAGTAGCTGGGATTTCAGGCATGTGCCATCACGCCCAGCTATTTTTTTTGTATTTTTAGTAAAGATGGGGTTTCACCATATTAGGCTGGTCTCAAACTCCTGACCTCAGGTGATCCACCAGCCTCAGCCTCTCAAAGTGCTGGTATTACAGGCATGAGCCACCACGGCCAGCCTAATGTCTCTTTTTCTGTGCAGCAGTTAGAGGGATCTTTCTGTCATGTCCTCTGCCCAAAACCCTGCAGCAGCAAGCAACCTACTTGCAGAAAGCAGCCCATTGTTACCCCAACCTGACAGCTGATGACCTTACTTCAGCCTGGAGGGGAAGGCCGCAGTGAGCTAGGATCACACCAGTGCACTCCAGCCTGGGTGACAAATTGAGACCCTGTCTCAAAAAAAAAAAGTCATATATTGTAGGACATGTTCACAATAGGTAAATTTATCGTGGAGACAGAAGGTAGACTCGCGTCTCCCAGGGCTAAAAGGGAGGGGTGGATGGGGAATCACTGCTTAAAAGTACAGGGTTCCTTTTGGGGTGCTGAAAAGCTTCCTGAACCACATAGCTGTGATGGTTGCACAACACTGTGAATGTCGCTAATAGTAAATTTTATGTGTGTTTACCACAATATATATATTTTCTGAGATGAAGTCTTGTACTGTTGCCCAGGGTGGAGTGCAGTGGCATAATCTTGGCTCACTGCAACCTCTGCCTCCTGGGTTCAAGCGATTCTCCTGTCTCAGCCTCCCGAATAGCTGGGATTACAGGCAGGCGCCACCATATCCAGCTAATTTTTGTATTTTTAGTAGATACAGGGTTTCACCATGTTGGCCAGATAGTCTCAATCTCCTGACCTTGTGATCCGCCCGCCTTGGTCTCCCAAAGAGCTGGATTACAGACATGAGGCACCGAGCCCAGCCAGTTTTTTAGAAGTATATAAATGGGCTTAGGTGGGCGGATTGCTTGAGCTCAGGAGTTCCAGACCAGCTTGGGCAACATGGCGAAAACCCATCTCTACAAAATATGCAAAAATTAGCTGGGCATGGTGGCTGGCACCTGTAGTCCCAGCTACTTGGGTAGCTGAGGTGTGGAGGTTGTAGTGAGCTGACATCAAGGCACTGCACTCCAGACTGGGTGACAGAGCGAGACACTGTCTCAACAAAAACCCAAAAACCAGTCAGTCTCGGTGGCTCATGCTTGTAATCCCAGCATTTTGGGAGGCCAAGTTAGGTGG